ATATGAATCCCCATCAGCAGAACAAGATCGATACTAGCGTGAGTCTTTCCCGAGCGACTAATCCCTTTGAAAATAATGTTCCTTATTGGACTGACAATGACTTTGTGTCTATCTAGAAAATGAGCCCGGATGAGCAGCGGCTCTTCCGCCTCTATGGCAAGATGCCCACCAAGAAAGACCTCCTGCAGAACAAACTGAAGGTATGCCGACTTAATTGTCTTCGCGCAGTCTGTCCGTCAACCCTCTAATCGCGGGCTTGTTGCTGTTTAGGAGCGCAAATACTTTGACTCGGGTGACTACGCACTCAGCAAGGCCGGAAAGGCTTCGGACGTCGGTGTCACCAACATTGGCTCCCAGCACCCCGTCCCGGAGAACATTCCTCACCTAACTGCCACCTCGCCTGGTGCTAACAACCCTGCGGCTGCAAGCAATGGCGGCAGCATCAGTGCTCAAGGAGGCCAACAGATCCCTGGTAGCATCAGTGGTCATCCCGGCTCCATCGGATTTCAGAGCCGAAGCCCTGTGAAGGAGGCAAGTTATCTGCAACGGGAAACAAGTGCGGATGAGACTGAGGAAGCCGAGAAGAAGGAAGATGACAGCGTGAGCCCACCCCCAGCGCGTGGTGGTGTCCCGATCCGGCAATAAATACCTGAACTGTCATTCGTGTTCTCCATGCCCCGTTCACACTTGTTTCGCATCATGTCTCTGGTTTCCCCGTCGGTGGTGGTGGCATCAAAAGAGCCTGGCGCTATGGACCGATTCTAATGTATTTACGACATTTGTTTCCCTTCTTCTCCCCTTTCCGTTTCTAGCGATATCTGTGGAAAAAACAGAATGGCCTTGTTTCAGAGCTGGCGGCAATGAAGTTGCAAGGGCGGCGGGAGCTGAGGCTCGGTCCAGCCAGGGCCACTTATCAAAAGCTCAAGCCGGAGCTGTGCTCTGAGCCTGTCTACTTGGACCAAGCTCGCTTACTGGACCCGTCCTCTCAGGATTCGTTTCTCGTGGTATCGGCTTTGAGGTCACCTCAACGCTTTTCGTTTTGAAGCTTCTTCTCTTCTTTGTCAATATCAGCTGCAGAACATATATTGGTCATTTGCTGGTCCAATTATTCCACAGGCCCCTTGCTGGTGCGTTCATTCCCACTCATGTGTGTGTGTGTGTGTGTGTGATGCCGCACAGAACGTGAGATCTTTTCGCATACTGTTGTTATCTTATGGATGAAGGAGTGCGTGAGTGAGTGCGTGCTGGATACACGGTTCAATTCGGAGATGGCAATGCACCTGGCATCTGTTCTATTCCTGAAGTACGTTGGCAAACGAGCCCTCATCAGGGCCAAAATGCAAATTGATGGTTTTTCTCCGTCCATGTCGCGGTCTCAGATCCCATGCCGTATGTGTGAGCTCTACATTGATACGGTAGGCGGAATGCATCCCGTGTGCATTTACTATCCCATCCGTTTAGGAGGGCGGGATAGCGCACCTTGGGTGCCGGCAACGTGATTTTCGCTCAGTTGATATTCTGCGCTATGTGTAACATGAAGATGACCAATACAAGATCGCTACAGGCGGGGGGAAGACATCGTATCTTCCATCGCAAAACTGTCATTGGGTATAAGAACTCGTCTAAGGCACACAAAAGGCAACAAAGCCTGGGATGGGGCAATACATGCTGTTATATGATCCTTGATTGCGAATTGGAAGAGAAAAAAAATGAATAAAAATAAAAATAAATTGACGACTCAGCAAAACGACTGGGGTATAGTAACAAGAGTGGCTCGCAAGACCATAGTGTAATTGAGAGAGGACCAGTTTAGAAAGGAGCGATGAAAGGCAGGAGGGTACCTAAACCCCGAGCGGAAGGGGCCCACAGAGTGTTTGCAGGGACAGCAAGGCAGCAAAATAAGCCGAGTGCACCATTATTGAACCCGCCGTCGCGGGTGGGGTGCTCATGACCGACACAGGCTATACATTATCATTCCCACCCAGCTAGGGGGGCAATGATTGCATGGCTCTGGTATAGCTGTGTGAAGGGTGTGGTCGAGAGCTGTTTGCTGCCCCGTACCTGTATTCCCGGAGTAACATACTCTGAGTGGGATGCTGCAAGTAGGGCCAATGGAAAAGCTTCTGTGCTTCCGGTCCCCATTCAAAGAAATGTAATAGTATCTGAGATAGCAAAATGACAATGCTGGCCTTCGAAGTGCTTTTGATAGAAGCTCCGGCGAAAAGCATGCTTTAGGTGCCTGGCATAGTCTAGCCTGAAAAGTCGAAGAATCCGGGCAATAGTAGCCTCAGCTGTAGGCTTCGGAAGGCGTCCGTGTCCGGCTCGATAGTTGTAAATGAAGAGCCAAGCGATTCCGACGAAGGCTGCGGTTATCTCCGCAGTCCACGTCGACAAGATGCCAGAATGTTGCATCCAGATTTTAACGGCTCCATTCAGTCGGTCTTCCAGTGACCAGCGAGTCCGGAGTCCAGATCGTCGTTCTCACCGAGGTATAACTCGACAGCGTACAAGGCCATGGTGCCGGCGAGGTTGGCCCACCGCCAAAGGTTTCCACCGCCGGCTCCTTGGGTGCTCCACCACTCGCCACTGCCACCCATTGCTTGAGAGGTAGAAGCGAAATGCTGCATCAGGAGACTGGTGTACACGGCGATGAGGATGGACGGAGAGAAGTAGCTTAGTACGCCCAAGAATTGGCCCGCCGCATCGGAGTCGTCCAACGAGGCTTCTTGGGAGAGAGCTCGGGCACCCGCTTCGCGGACGGCGGGTATGATGCGAGTCGATGCGTACAGAACCAGGATTCGATATGTGAGCGAGATCAATACGGAAGGGGTGACGGCACCGAACACTGCCGTGATAACGTTGAAGGCGGCGTGGATGATGGAGGGCAAGGTGGACAAGGCGTGCATCAGGGTCGTGTAGGAAGCCATGATAATAGGAGGAAGCGGCGGGAAGTCCCCGGCTTGAGCGGGGGAAGGTACTTGCTCCACAGGATGCGATGGCTGGTAATCAGTGAAAATCTGGTAGATGCAGAGAACGATGTACGCGAACAGTAGAGAACTTTCTACTGGGTTTCCTCGCCCACTGCCAATGCCCCACGCGCAGAGGATCACGGCACAGGTGATGGATACCCCGATCAAAGCGGCATCAACATTTGAGATCTCGGGGAATTGGAGGACCCGCCACAGGAAGTATACCGAGCTCGATATGATGGAGGCGGAGAGTACCAGGAGACCGATCTAGCGAAGCACGAATTAGCAAATAGGCATCCTGCCAATGTGGGCTATGGAGTGACGTGGACATACCATCCAACTGTCGCTTCGCCCACCACGGTTGACAAGCCAGCGGGTAATCTGCCCTGCCGCCTGGATGACCAATAAGCTGCAGAATCCTTCCACCAGCTGGAAAACCGGGGTCGACCATCTCAGCAATTTATCCCAGTTCCCGATAGTCACTGATTCCACCAGCCCATCAGGCCCAAACAGCCACTCCTGGATCGACGAGTCGTGGGCTCTCTTGCCCGTGAAGGTCCGCTCCACCCAAGAGCCAGCATTATCGGTATCGATCGAGAAGCGGTTCAGCGACCAGATAAGCAGGATCGGAATAATGAGCCATTGCGTCGAGCTAATGACGACGATCAGGGAGGAGCGGAGCCATGACCGATCAGGCGTAGTGAGGCGCAGAAGCGAAAATAGGAAGTAGAAGGTGGCCAGGGACAAAGAATAGGCCAGACCGCATGTTTTCCCACCCACATCAAAGGCGAGGGGAATGGAAGAGACGGTGACGGCCAGAAAGACGGCCGACGAAAGGGCGCGGAAGAGCCACATCGGACAATATGGCCCAGGGCTACTGGACAGGGGACGCGCGCGAGAGAAGCAGATGAGGCACGGGGAGGGTCAAATATGCTGGAGGATAGAGCGAGCAGGTACGGACGGACGCGGTGTCAACTTAATAGGTTAGACAGCCTCCAAGAGTTAATCTTGGGGTGGAAGCGCGAGAGAGTGACGAAATCCCGATTTAAGGATACATGAAGCCCGATTTCCCGAATTCTAGACTGGGTTTTGAGCTCGCTGGGCGATGCTAGCTGGGTCTATGAAGAAATAGAAAAATTTTCCCTCTTCTTTCCAGGCGATGTAAGATTTTGATCTTATCACTTAAGCGGGACGGAATATGATGATGGATGATGATGATGGGATGGGACTGGGCTTGAACTGGTTGTGGCACGTGCAAAGGATAAATAGTGTCAGACACGCCAACCGATCGCTGGACAGATTCGCTTTTTCCTTTTTTTTCTCGGGACAGAGCCACTGACAGAGGCGCAAAAGCTTAACAGCCGCAGCGACTCGGGATGGACAGAAAGTAGAGGCACAAAAACCAGGAAAGGGGCAATGAAGCCGGGGGGCGCAGACCGAGTTTAGGTGGGCAATTCGACGATAGTCGCAATAGTAATAATAATAATAATAATAATAACACCAAATCCACTCCACCCGTTTTAGCGTAGAACGGAAGGCGGTGGAGCTGGTCCAGATGCTTAGTCGGCTGCAAGTAGCGGTCAGAAGGGGAAAATAAAAAAGAAAGAAGTAGCAGGAAGGAAAAAATGATGCCCAAACTGGTGGAGATGGTTGAAGAAATGAATATCAACGGAAGAAGATCGAAGCTGGCTGAATGAATCCTTCAGGATATCTAACAAAACATACAGCATACATACAGCATACAGTACGTAAATCCAGCTGATTACATACACGGATGTCCTCTTCAGGACTAGTTCTTCCCCTCTCTTTCACATGCTTCCGTTAAGCCCTTGCGATAAAAGCCCTAAAGAGCCGCCCGATGAAGTCAAGCGGCAGTTGCAAACTCGCCCAGGTCTTTTCCTCTTGTGGAAGGCGCTGTTCTTCCAGTCAACCAATCACAAATCACAGATACCAAACCGATCCCCAATCCAGACCCCTCATAGACTGGTTCTTTCTCCAAAAGGTAACTTACTGTAGTATTCCGATTACCTAGTAGTACTTTACTTTTAACTATTTCTTGAACCTCTTTCATCTTCATCTTTCACTCTTCTCTGCTTTTCTATTAGTACATGCTCCGCTGGCGTCGATTCTTCACCATGGCCGAAACTGCTGCAAAGAAAGTCAAGACCTCCTCTCCCTTGATTGGAACTCACAAGTAAGTACGCGCAGAAGCTTCTTCCCCGACTTCCCCTCCATTCATAGATTTGCGATGTGCTGACTCTTCCTCTTTTCCCTGCGCAGCGGCCACTTCCACGCCGATGAGGCTCTTGCTGTCTATCTCCTCCGTCTTCTGCCCACATACTCCTCCTCTCCCCTCCTCCGGACCAGAGACCCCGCTCAATTAGCTACATGCCACACCGTCGTCGACGTGGGCGGAGAGTACGATGCTGCCAGCAACCGCTATGATCATCACCAGCGCACTTTCGCAACCACTTTCCCCAACCACAACACCAAGCTCTCCTCCGCGGGCTTGGTGTATATGCACTTCGGTCGGGCCATCATCGCCCAGCACACCTCGTTGCCCGTGGACCATGAGGATGTGACTCTTCTGTACGAGAAGCTTTACACCGATTTCATTGAAGCCATTGATGCCAACGATAATGGTGTCTCTGTCTACGACCCCGCTGCTGTTTCCGCTGCCAACATCCAGAAGCGCTTCAAGGATGGCGGGATCACCATCACCTCCGTGGTGGGTGACATGAACAACCCGGACCCCACCTGCCCTCCCGGCGAGCCTCAGGACGAGGATAGTCTGTTCGCCAGAGCCAGCACATTCATTGGCAACGTCTTTGCTCGCAAGTTGCACCATGCCGTTTCCTCCTGGCTGCCTGCGCGGACCACCGTAGGCGCTGCTTACCGTTCCCGTCGGGACGTTCACCCGTCCGGCCGGATCATCGTCCTGCCCCAGGGTGGTGTGCCCTGGAAGGAGCACCTCTACAACTTCGAGAAGGAAGCCTCTGGATCAGAGGAAACCAACCCAGATGAGGAGGCTTACTATGTTCTGTACCCCGAGAGTGCGGCAGAAGATTCGAAGTGGCGTGTGCAGTGCGTCTCTGTAAACGAGGGTAGCTTCGTGTCTCGCAAGCCTCTTCCCGAGGCGTGGCGGGGTGTCCGCGACGCCGATCTCGACGGTGTTATGGCCGCAGAGGCTGAGAAATCTGGGAAGCCCAAGGTTCCCGAGGGTGCCGTTTTCGTTCACGCCAGCGGCTTCATTGGTGGCCACCAGACCAAGGAAGGTGCCCTTGCCATGGCCACCCGTGGTCTGGAACAATAAGCTGCAAGTATAGTTGGCAGCTGCGGATGAATGCAATTACGATAGAATTTATGCGTACATACTTCTTGTCATGACGGTACGGGATTCAGTTAGGAAAACTATCTAAAAGTTATATTGTTGGCCAAAGTGCTATGTTGAGAAATCAATGCATAAGGCATCGTTCAATCGTAGCCTTTGTTACTTGCTTATTCGTAACGAGACATTAGATAGCAAGGGGAAATCGCACTGATCACCTATCGTCTATTTCAACACTTGGCCGGGCAGATTCCATTCGACTTTACTGATTCCTCCATTGCCCATCAACCACAGCGTCTTCAGCTCCGGCCCCGTCCAGGCAAAATTCTGGACCGTGTAATTGGTTTGAATTGTCAACAGCAGCTCCCCAGAAGGGTCAAGAACATCGACACCTCGACCACATCCCGTCAGAATGTACCCATTCGCTGCCACTTTCAGTCCATCCGGGACAAAGCCTGTTGCCAGATAAATGGCCCGTTTGTTATAAGCGTGGGCTCCATCCTCACTCACGTCAAATGCATAGATGGTCCTATAGAAGGAGAAAAGAGATGAGTTAGTCACCTTTCGGGTCTTCGAGCATATCAGGTTCAGGTTTTCCATACCGCCGATGCGTGGTATTGAACGTACTGCCCGGATGGCCATATTTGGGATCAATAGGAGCGCTGACCGCCGCAGTATCGCTGATGTATACGATAGATCCATCTGGAGTGAAAGCGATCCCGTTGGGCTGACCGATTGAGTCGTCCACAACTACCACGGCCCCAGAAGAAGTGTTATATCTGTAACTGGCGCAGGGAAGCTGAGGAGGGGTGTCTGTGATATCGTTGAACCAGGAGTATTCTGTACATCGGGGTATATCAATTAGCGAATTCCACATGGCACATGGTAGGTGGTAAGAGCTTACGTGGATCTGTGAACCAGATATCGCCAGTCTTGGGATGCACGGCAATGTCGTCAATGGTGTTGAAGTAGTATCCAAAGTAATTGTTGACCAGGCTCGTTGTTTTGTTTGTCTCTGGATCTAAGGTTCTGAGGGAGATGCGTTGTTCAGTCCCGCCAATTGAGCTATTGCCGCCAGATGCGCCCCAGATGATTTTGCCGTCATGGAAGGTGCCGCCATTGGGGGCATAGACTGGTGGATCAGAGAGGTATTCGGATAATGTTGGGGGATCCTGGTTGAGATCGACAACCAGCTGCGGAAGATAGCCTGGCGGCGGCGCGAGCTGCGAGAGGTACAGTTTGTTCTGCGATGCCACGTAGACGGGGGCTTCATGCACCGCATCGTTCACGGCAAAAACATATTCGTAGCTCGGGTTCGAGCCTAGGATATCGAGTCCTTTCTCTTTGTTATACACAATGAAATCCGCGGTCTTGACGTCTTGCAGGACTGTGCCGTTGGCTACGGTGGTATCACCGAAGGTCGTAACGGCGTCCATTGTGCTTACATTGCGAAAGAAATGGTAGCTATTCTGAGCGTCAATGGCTGCCCGGCCGATTTCAGCAGCTGGAATTTACGAGGGACTCACGGAAGCACATTCGCATAGTGATTGACGCAGACAACCGAAGGGCCACATTCTTCTGAGATGGGATGGGTAACGCCAGTCTGGGCTTGGACGAGACTGCCCGTGAAAGATGCGAGTAACAGCAGGAAATTTTTCATTGTGAATTATAAATCCATATATAAGTTCCGTCAAGTCGACGTTTCGAAGAGATCAAGGAAGGCCCAGATACAGCCTTTCATTCCGATCAACAGATCCCTCGGTGGGCTATACAGTAATATTTGTAGACCGTCCATCGGAAGATGGCACGGGTAATTGGAAAGAGGAAGGAGTAATCAACGGGATGATCCCGATTTCAATCCAAGCCAGTTTGATCCCAAGCATACATGGGGGGCTTGCCTCGGGGGGGTTTTGAGGTCTTAGGGGCGATTGTTGGACGGATGCGGTAACAGGAAACCCTCCTCTTAGTGTGGGGTACAAACGAGTCTGGGGCACGATCATCGCCCCTCCGGGGACTTTTCCCCCAAGACAAGCCATTCTCAATATTGCGGAGCGGCTTAGTATGTCTCGGCAGTCTGGTTTTCGGATAAGTTCCCAGGCTTGCGGAAAATGAGCAAGCAGGTTCTGGTGACCTGTAAATCGGAGAACGTCCGAGGGGAGGGCCGAGGGAGATGCTGCAAAAGAAGCAGAGTGTCTGTTTACCCCCAAGCAGATCCTTCCCATTGAAAAAATAAGAAAGCAAGTCATCCACTAATGCCGGATGTTCAGGGAACTAATGTCTTCAATGCTGCCAGTGCCATCGCCAGACACCGGGAGATCTTTGGCATCGGGATGTATATCCGAGTTGTCTTCCCTCTCGCCCACGGCACGCTGGATCAACTTGGCTTTAACAGCAGCGCCTTTCATGCGCTCATCTACATCATTCACCGCTTCCTCCGTGTTCACCATAGGCAGGGAAGCGGGGTCAACCAGTTCCAGCAGGATCTCGATGTTCTTGGCTAGCCTGGAGCTAGATGAAAGGCTCGACATTTCCTTGCAAATGGCGGGATCCAACAAGGAGGGTTCTTCCTGTTTGTGATCACTCTCCGGGGCTCCGTTGATCTGGCCGTTGGACTCGGGGTTTCCCGACAGCTGCGAATCTGCAAGCCGTTGAGACCAGACCAGGGCTTTGCCATATAGTCTTCCAAGTTCGAGGAATTTCTCGAATCCTTTCTCGACAGCAAACACACTACCCTCTGTATACCCGGCTTGCGCACCATCCGCTGCACCCAGATCGTAGCCCTCTTGGTAGAATTCTTCCTCCAGGTCGAGCAGACTCTCAAGTAGGTTATTGTTCTCCATGAATGCGATTCAAGATGGATAGAGAGATAGGCACGGGAGGGAAGGAATGAGAGATAAGACGGTAATAGAGTCGAGAACACGACAGTGGTATCTAAGAATCTGCAATTAGTTGCAGCAGTGGAGTGGGGGCAAAAAAATGGAACAGTAGGAGATGAGATGATATTGAAGGGAAGCGCCCAAAAAAAGTGCGGAGAGAAGCGGCCGAAAGCGATGAAGCGATGAATCATCCGCACCCGCGAAAAAGTTGCAACATTTCTACCCCTCCATCCCGCTGATAGTCCAATTCCCCGCCATCCGCCTCCAATTCCATCATGGCTTCCGACTCTAAGATCTTGCCCAAGAAGGGCCAGCGCAATATCCTGGTCACCAGTGCTTTGCCCTACGTCAACAACGTGCCTCACTTGGGTAACATTGTTGGTTCCGTTCTCAGTGCTGATGTCTTTGCCAGGTACTATCTATCCATCCTGCTTCCTTTGCCCCCCTCCCTCCCCAATTGCTCCCTTTGTCTGGCTCCTGTTCGCGGGCTCTCTCATTAATTCCATTCCAACAATGCTAACACCCACTTTTTCAGATTCCACAAGGCTTGCGGACATCAAACACTCTACATCTGTGGTACCGATGAGTATGGAACGGCAACCGAGACCAAGGCTTTGGAGGAGAAGGTGACCCCGGAGGAGCTGTGCGCCAAGTACAACAAGATCCACCAGCAGGTGTACGAATGGTTTGAGATTGGCTTCGATCACTTCGGACGCACCCCGACCCAGCAACACACCGAAATTTCCCAGGCCATCTTCAAGAAGCTCTACGAGAACGGCTATCTGACGGAGAAGACGGCGGAACAGCCCTTCTGTGAGACACATGGATCTTTCTTGGCGGATCGTTACGTGGAAGGTGAATGCCCCCGGTGCCACTACGACGATGCTCGTGGTGACCAGTGCGATAAGTGCGGTCACCTCTTGGATCCCTTCGACCTCATCAACCCCCGCTGCAAGCTTGATGGCGCCACCCCCGTCCGCCGCTCTACGAAACACATCCACCTTCTCCTCGACAAGCTCCAGCCTCAGATTGAAGAATGGTCTAAGAATGCCATCGAAAAGGGCGATTGGCCTAAGAACTCGCGTGTCATCACCGAGTCTTGGTTGAAGGAAGGTCTGAAGGACCGCGGTATCACCAGAGACCTGAAGTGGGGTGTCCCGGTGCCTCTGGAGGGATTCGAGAGCAAGGTGCTTTATGTCTGGTTTGAGGCTTGCATTGGTTACCCCTCCATCACGGCCAACTACACCCCCGATTGGGAGCTCTGGTGGCGGAACCCGGAAGATGTCCAGCTGTATCAGTTCCTGGGCAAGGATAACGTTCCCTTCCACAGTGTCATCTTCCCCGGTTCTCAGCTGGGAACCAAGGAGAAGTGGACTATGCTTCACCACCTGAGCACCACGGAGTACCTGAATTACGAGGGTGGCAAGTTCAGCAAGTCTAGAGGTATTGGTGTCTTTGGTACCAGCGCCAAGGAGACGGGTGTGCCCCCGGATGTGTGGCGCTACTACCTCCTGAAGAACCGTCCCGAGACTGGTGATACCCAGTTCGAATGGCGCTCCTTCGTTGAGAGCAACAACAGCGAGCTGCTGGCCAAGCTGGGCAACCTTGTCAACCGTGTCATCAAGCTTGTTACGGCATCTTACGGCTCGGTCGTTCCCGAATTCACTGTCCCCGAGAGTTTCCAGCCTACCTTGGACGAAGTCACTGCTACTCTCAGACAGTACGTTGAAGAGATGGAGGGTGCACACCTCCGCGCTGGTGTGGTGAGTGCGATGAAGTTGGCCGAAGCCGGAAACGGTCTGATCCAGGCCAACCGCCTTGATAATTCGTTGATTGCCAACGAGCCCGAGCGTGCTGCTGCGGTCGTCGGTACTGTGCTCAACTTGATCCATCTCCTGGCCAGCGTTTTCTCTCCCTACCTCCCCGCCACCTCCAAGGCTATCAACGAGCAGCTCGACGTGCCGTTCGGCCTGATCCCCTCTCTGGAGGACATCAAGGACGGCTGGAAGCCGACTGCCATCAAGCCGGGTCACAAGATCGGCAAGGCCAAGTACCTGTTCTCTCGTATCGACCCCAAGAAGGCCGACGAGTGGCGCGAGATGTTCGGTGGTTCCCAGGCCGACCGCCAAAAGAAGGAAGAGGAAGCGGCCAAGGCTGCGGCCAAGAAGGCTGCAAAGGATGCCGCTAAGGCTAAGAAGAAGGAGAAGAAGGCCAAGGCTGCTGAGGCCGCTGCCGCCGGCAGCAATGTTGAAGCCTCCGCCAAGGGAGGCGCCCAGGCTGTGGAGGTGACCACCGATAGCAAGACCGACGAGGCCGTCGAGAAGGTCGCCGATGGCGTGGCCCAGGTCACCATTCCCTCCTCTTAAATCACATAGAATTCCCAGCTCCCCAATTCTGTCAAAAGACTCGGAAGACAGCGTCTATAGAGTTGCAGCGACTAGCGGACTCCCTTGATATCCTGTGCTGATGATTAGAGCGTTTTTTTTTTCTCTCTTCCCACTTCCTTTCGTTTTCCGGCTTCGTCATCGTAGATCGTTGATGATCTATAGCTACTTATTCTTCCTCTTTCTTCTTCTCGTCTTGGGATACTGCGTTGCTACGTATGCAAAACATACTTTTGTGAAAATGGAGTCGATATGAGATACGATGTTGGTGAAATGAGCGCAACGGTTGATGACTGACTGATTGATTGATTGATTGATGGATGGATTCAGTAGTTTTTTTTCGGTTTTGGATGTCTCGCTTTGGCTTCACGTTTGTTATCCTCCCGCATGGTTTCAGTTCAACAAAACTCGACAATTCAACATGGGTTTCCAATACAATCCATTCCCGTCTTTTCTGTGCCAGGGTCTTGCTGTGGGCTCTACCCCCAACATTCCCAATTCAGTTACATGGATCGAAGGGTATCGCCTGTCGCCAGCAGCTACAGTAGCCTTCCTTCCAGTTCAGACAAGAGGACCCCGGATAGACAACAGGATTAACCTGAATAAATCGCTCATATGCATTCCCAGAGAGTAATAGTAGTAATAACAAAAAGAGTACATGATACGGGGAAATGAAACAAAGGGGAAAAAAAAAAAAAAGAAAAAAAGAAAAAAGCATGACGAGCCAATCCATGTATAACCGAAGCATGATACTCCAGATGTATGAGCCCCGCCAAAAGTCCATTTGAAATCGAAAGGTTTGGCCTCCACGACGCCTCCATGTGCAGATCCCTTCCAACTACATAGCCTTCTCCCGGTCTACTCCATTACCTCTTCCGGTTGTTTGGTCTAGGCTTCACTTCTTCTTGGCTGACAGGGTGCAGCATGACCTTGTTGGGCAGCTGCTGGTTGTTGGCGGAGTAGCCCTTGCTCCAGTCGTAACTGACGGCATAGGCGAAGATGTTGCCGTTGCGGTTGAAGGCGGTGCTGGAGATGGTACCGCCCACGGAGGGATATCCCTTTAGACGGTGCTTGGCGTCCTTATCCCAGAAGTGGAAGGTACCGTCACTGCCGGCGGTGCTGAAGGTGCCGTGGACGGGGTGGAAGGAGATGGCGTTGACGGAGTAGATGTTGTTGACATCGCGCTGAGGAGTCTCACGGTGGCACTTGAAACTGAAGTTGTTGGAGGAGTCCTTGTCCTCGACATACTGGATCGCACAGCGGCCCTCGACACTGCCGACGGCGAAGCCAGTGGCAGTCGAGAAGCAGCTGACTACTCGCGTCTGCCACTTGAGGGGAGACTGCATGGTCTTGTAGAATTTGGTGGGGTTTTCGAGGTTGATGACGTTGATGTAGCGGTCTGCGGTGCCGACCACGAGAAGTTTGTCCTTGACATCCATGGTGTAAACACGCTCCTGGCACTCCACCGTGGCAATGGGGTTCGACTGTCGCAAGTCCCAGTACTTGATGGTCTTATCCCAAGAGCCGGTCACAAGTAGCGGGGTTCCTCCGGCCGGGTTTGGGATCATGTGGCAGCATTTGATGGGCGCATCGTGAGCGGCGACTTGAGTGGTCGCATTGGTCGCAAGGTCGAGCATACGAGCGGCTTTGTCGGCGCCAGCTCCGACAACTTTCGTACCATCCTAGGTAGCAACAGAGTCCAGATCAGTTAACTGTAGACACTGCGACAATGGAATGAGGGTGAGCTCACCGGCGACCAGCAACAGCTCAGAACGGGGGCCTCGTGCTCGAACAGAGCTTTACCTTCGCTCTGGCCCTGCTCATTGATCTCGTAAATTCGAACCTTCTTGTCCCATGAAGCGACAGCTAGGTGTTCACTAGCCGGAGAGAAGCGGAGGTCCGAGATACTGTCCTCGGGAGGTTGGTTCAGGGCAACATCCTTGGAGATATCACCTGTGGTGTTGGTCTGACCAGCTGAGGTCGTCGCGGCGCCGACGGAACCGAAAAGCGACATTAGGGCGGCGAAGTATTACACTGTATTGACCGATTAGGCGATAAGCTGTACTATCAGGGACATTGAGGGGATCCACAACGCGAGACGAACCAGGAAAAAGCAGACGTGACTGGAAGCGGGAGGAGAGGCAGCAAGACCTGGGTGGTGGTGTTGTACCCAAGCGGTCGCGGAAGAGAGGCGCAACCGGCCAAATTGACCGAAGAGCGTGAAGCTTGGATGTTTCAAAAGGCGCACTAGATTGACAGCCCGGGCAGCATTCACTAATTGCACGAAAAGGAATGGGATGAAGATGGATTGGATTGTATGGAAGCTCGCTCATCCAAATGGGCAATAATTAATCGAATATCTTCTTCGCGGCTTTCCCTTCACCGCCTTCAAACAAGACAAACTGCTGAGTCAGCGGGGGGAGAGCTTCCCTCTCACCTTTCCGTCCTGGGTAATCACTCTGTAGTACTACATAGTCACTACCTACTACTAGTACCAAGTAGTGGGTAGGACAGTGAGATGCCCTTTGTTCACTCCCAGGACCATCTGCATATTCAACAGCAGTTCGACAAGTCCTTCGCTTTGATTCTTTTCTGCTATACCAATGAAGGAGTTACAACATTTAGTCTCCACACATCCGAGATTGCTGAACTATATACTAGATATAAGAATTACAGGCAGCTTAACAACATACCTTGCCAACAATCTAGTACTAATCCCCTGACTGCTCGGTTGAGACCTCAACTCTTTGCAGACTGGTTGAATTTGCTCGACACTGGCACCCCATAACGATCAACGTCAACAAAATGGACACTGGCCACGAGCATGGGAGGAAGGGAGGGAGGGGGGGAAAAAGCAGACCTGCAACGGGTCGCCACCCACTATCGTTGACTGATGCTGGTAGTTGTGTTGCAGGCAATATGGAAATGCAGCGTGGACCCCCGTTATGATTCGTAGGACCCCGCCCAAGCCTGCACGGTCAAAATGTTGGATGGCCAATAACCTGCAATCCACCACCTTATGATCGCCGATTGCTGTGGCCCCGTCTCGGGTGCAGTTTCACTTTCGAAGGTACCTACCTACCTAGTCTACGTAGTAGGCAGGCTACAGCCTACAGGGGGGACATCACACCACTGGTCCAGTCCCGGGGCCTGGACAGGCACACCCATCAAGACTCCTCTCAAACCTCGAGCTTGTCTAGTCTCGGCCAGGGCTGGTATCCCTTCATTCGATGCCCTCGCGATTTGGATGTCAAAGAACCTCACGTGCCACGGGGGGGATGACAGACCTTACATGAGCGGACGTTTACAGTTCAACCTGTACCACGGAAGGCATCTGCCGATTGTCTGGCACAATGAAAGGAAATGGGCGCCATGAGGTCATGCATTTCATCCGTCTTTCCGTCTGGGGTTGATCCGCTTCAAGTCAGTTGGAGGTTACGAGAAAGGTGACGCATTTTTCGATCTTCATTACGGCTGCTGGTTCTATGAGAAGGGGGGTTCTGCCGTATGCTATTACTACAACTACAATTAGTACCACTACCTGGAGACTGGTCCACTAAAGATACCGCAGGTAGGTGCAGGGAGAAGGAAAAAGGAAATCATTGGGCCAGGCGGGAGAGCGACCGAAGGAGAGAAAATAAAGTACGGCGAAAGAAGCAGACCAAGTGGAGCGGGCGGGAATGCGGGGTGCAGCCTTAGTGGACCGTCGCCCGGAAGCTCTCGACGTCAGGCTTGCTCGTGTGATCCGGTTGCCCCGGGTGCATCATTCATTTGAATTACTATCTACTTACTTGGAGGAATTTATCTGACACCTTACTTGAGAATTCAATACTAGATGTCTCATTAATGAAAATGGAGTGAGGGTTATGGGTGTATGTGGGTGTGTGAGTGTGTGTGGGAGGGAGAGGTGGTACTTTGAAACCACCATCCATCAGGTGATGGTCCGGATGTAGATATGCATCGTCCGGTGCGGAGATCCTAACAACATCATCCATCCTCCTCCTCGTCCCATCATTCCACCCTGCCTGCATTTCTCTCTCTCTCTTCCTCCTCCTCTCGCCATCCAGGCTTCCTCCCCTGTTCACTGTGGGAACATACGATTCAGGATGATTGCTTTGGGGCCCGCTTCTATTCATCATTTGAGCCATTCAGTCCCCATCATAATCCCTGTAGCTGTGCAGTAGTTTGCAATTGAACTTTACGTACACCCGTGCTGTAGACTACTCCTTAAAACCTTCTCTCTTACTCCAATGCATCCTATGCCTGTATGTATGTATGTATGTATGTATATATGAATGTACGTATGTATCTATCTACATCATGTATGTTATGGTATGGATGGAATAATGGGGATGTATCAGGTAAGGAACACGATGGTATGGTATACGTCAGGTAACTTAAGTAGTAACTGACAAAGACACATCCCAAAGTAGCAAGTGAGAGCAAAGTGAACCGCTCCTTCCCTCTTCTTCTTGTTCTCCCCATTTCTGGGTTGGCCCATCCATGTCACCTGCCCTTTCCCTTCCTCCCTTTTCTTCCTTCCCTTTTTCATTCTTCTTCTTCTTCTTCTCCTCCTCCTTTTCCTTTCCTTTCCTTTCTTTCTTTCTTTCTTCTCTCTACTATCTTGTTGGATCCTACTGACTTGATACTCTCTCCCTCCCATTCCATACTACTTACTGCCCATACTATTTACTACCTCACTTACTGGTAAGTTCTACTCTCCTATCTAAGAGTAGCACTAGAATGCTCGAGTAGTCATTCCACGTCATCACTCGGGTCCTTCCCTCCTCTGCCACTGGAGTGTCCTCAGTGACCAAAGGAACATCATCCATCCCCTTAATAGTACACACAACTAACAAGCTATTCTGTATATCAGTGCTCCTACTAAGAGACTCACTGCTTCCTGCCACCACATTCCGCAGTCATGTCTGAACCACTCACCAAGATTGACTCGGCCATCGAGATATCCCCCAAGGACGAGAAGGCCCCCGACAAAGATGCCAAGAAAACCCACAGACGTACCTCTTCCCACGCTGAGGGTATCTACAACATCAAGGAACTTGGTGGGTCCTTTCTTTCCACAGTCGTTCTAAGATCACATAGAGCATCGCGTTCCTGAAGATCTCCCCTGCTAACTACTCGTCAATTTGTAGAGGAGAAGAAGATCGAGATTACCCTTCCAATTGAAACCCAGAAGACTGGATGGTATGCTCGTTGCTATATATATACATCTGCATAAGACATGAGACTAATCGGGGTAAACAGGAAATTGAACACCTCACCATCGACCATTGAGGACAAGGATATCCTAAAACTTCATCTGATCAACCCCCCAGTCAAGAAGATCGATCTGCACTTCCCACTAGGGCTCGAAGTCACCGCTCGCAATATGAAGGGCGTCACGATAAAGGATGCGCTGGACGCAATCTACAAGCAGTTCAAGAAGAAGGTGAGTAGCCCAAGATTATGATCCATCAGATGTCTCCCATTCCCTCCAATAATACTGACTTCCATCCGCTCTAGGCCGACGATGAGTTGGACAAGCCTTACCTCGCTGGTTTCGAGTGGGACAAGGACGAGTGCTGGACACGCCTCATTGTTCACCAGACCAAGCAGGGCCCCCCTCAACAGCCCAGCAAGAAGTCCAAGAAGAAGAAGGCTGAGGAGGCATAGACTGCGGTTGCTTCGGACAGGCCGTGTCCATCTAACAATGTCTTCTCTCTTATCTCTCTTTCAATGGCTACTTCCACCATACTTTGTGATACTTTGTCCTCTTCGTGCCCTTGGCCTCTCTGGAACAGAACCCGGGAGAGTCGAGGCAGGAGCTAGGCGAGAGGATGATAATCCCTGTAATTTGCCTTTGTTGTCTTTTCACTCCAACTCTCTGCTTTCATTTCTCTTCCGGGAGGATGGCCTCGCTATTCCCTGGCCGAGTTGACTTGCTGAGCACCGGACGATCTTGTATCTTCGAGCTCCATCCCTTCATTCAGATTCAATGTGGAGACACAGGAACATTTAGTTGACCTTCTGGATAACTGACGTAGAAACTACTGCCTAGTGCGGTTCTAGTAGACGGGCTAACACGGTAGGTTCAGGCACCAACGATCAGGATGGGTCGACGTCCCACCCTTATCAGCATGTGATTATCAGACGTATGTGCATCGGCCTCACTCGCCCGCCGCACCTGCAACAGCTACATTATATAGAGTATCGGCAAAACACGATGCAGAATAGCACAGGCGCTCAAGCGCAGAAGAAGAGATGCTAGAAAAGCACATCAATGCAACGCCCGCTAATAACAATACAGCCCGGCGATAGAGATAGCAGAAAGACAACACAGAAACAGACTGAAGAGAGAAAGAAAAAGAAAGAATAGTATCATACACATTAGCATGAAGTCATCAACGTATTCGTCCCGCGTCCTCCCGCACCAAATAAAACTAAAACGACCTCATCGAGAATAGTAAAGAAGAGATGCGCATTCAACCGTCGATTATTCAAAGTCGCAAAGATCCTGCGCGCCGCGGCCTGCGCATTCGCTCGTCCGACCACATTACCCGCTAGATCGGGGATCAGCGTGGCCAGGACCAGACTTGCTTCAGTGCGACTCTTCAGTCGTTCTGATGCAGTGCGAACGCGGCTTTGGCGAAGCACACCGCCCGGCCACATGGTATCCTTGATGAGGGTGATGTAGCGCAGAAGCGAGTCGTCCTGGACAAGGGAGCGTGCTCCTTCGCGAACTTTGCGCTCGATCGTACCCCCTAGCAATTGGTGGAGGACGACGACCACGGCACGCCCGCGTAGCCAGTTATTTCCCTTGTTTAGCTCGAAAGCTTCCAGGAATAGATCACAAATGGGTTTGATGAAGGGCTCAAGCTCGCGGTCTTCGAAGGCGTTTAGTTCGGCTTCCGCTTCGGCGGCGGTGACGGCGTCCTCGGTGGCAAGGCCAGTGTCACCGGGAGATACTGTGGTGGAAGTGGTGGATTGTTGGTTTGTAGCGGCTGAGATGAGGCTTTGTCCGGCTGTGGATAGTTGATCTAATACGCCGAAGTTGCCTAGAAAGTCGTCCATGCCGTCGGCGACGGAATTGTAGATTCGAGTGACTAGGTCTTTGGTCTCTCCGTTGGTGGTGGAGCTTTGGTTCTCGTTGCGGGGGATAATGGCTCGTTGGGAGAGGAAGGCTCGTAAGTCTCGACTCCGGCATACTTCAGGGAGAAGGAGGAGTTTCTGTAGATATGCTTCTAGAGCTAGGCGTCGCTTCTGGAGGAATTCTTTCTGGAGCTTGAGAACGACACGTCGACGTGGGAACTCCAGGTGACGGACGGATGGGTATCTCATGCGTAGCTTCTGATGGAGTTCATGGAATTCGCTGTATCTGCGGGCCACGGCCCAGGAGGCGGCGGGCATTTGCTCACCAGCGTTACGTTGCACTTCGACCACATCTAGAAGATATGTTAGTAAATCTGAACAGCAAGTAGCTCCCGTGACGGATGGAGGCAGGGTAGTAAGGAACGTACACATAGCGAACTCTCGACCGTCTTCCTCCTTTCCAACTACAATGGATTTGATACGGACGGTCGATCGGCCATACAGACTGTTGTCACTTTCTTGGATGATATACTGCTGTCGTTGCATCTCTTTGCGGTGAATCTCGCGTTGGATGCTCGCTTTGGATTTGCGCAGAATCCTCAACTCTGCGGTGTTGTTGGTAAGTTCAGCTTTGCGAGTAAGCGTGTCTACCACTGACTCTTGAGATCCGAGCTTATCGATATCTGCGGTGAGCGCCTCAATGGCCTCCGTCAATCCGAGATCCCCAGGAGCCGCCTCATGGACTTGATCGGCCGGATCTGTATCTGTTCCCATCGGCTCTTCATATTCGTCTTCGATATACTTCTGTTGTTCAGGGAAGAGATCGTCATCGAAGACCCCCTGGCGTGAGGATCGATCCACGAGGCCTAATGAGGCAATGCTCGGCTTGATACGGTCCTCTGTCCGACTATCTGCCCGAGGGATATCCATTGAGCTGCGCGGCGACCGGGGGAAAGGGTCGCTAGCGGGCAATGCAGACGGGGACACATCGGCGTTCTTCAAATCTTCAATTCGACTATTCTTGGGCTCGCTCGCGATGATGTCGTTTAACGCTGCCTCCATATTCTCGATGACTTGGTTTTGGCTCGCCTCAGTTTCGCCATTTTGTGAGTCTTTCCCTAGGCTTTGTGTCGACATTGCCAGTGGATCTGTATCGTAGTCATCGTCAAACAGCGGTGCAGATCGCTCGGAATCGAATGAGCGCCTCGAAGACTCATCGTCATCAAACAACTTGCCCATGCTTCGAACATCGCTCGAAGAAACTGCCGCTCGTCGTAAATCTTTGGACCTGGCGCCAGGTTGTGATGAGGTGCGAGACATCAGAGGAGGTAAAGGCCGCCTTTCGGACACTTCAGCAATGTTCGGAGAGCTCTGTTGGGGGGACTGCGGGCCCGCTTGGGATGCTTCATCCGAGGCAAGGTATTTATAATAGAGATCTGACTGCTTGAACTTCGGGTAGTAGATTTCCTGAAGCTTATCGAGCACCGCGGATTGAGTGCTCAAAATGACCGTCCGAGCCTTTCGATACTGCTCCGAGGTGGCCCGCTTCCCTGCGCTCAGGAAGGCCTTCACCACCCGACGGGACTCATCCGATACTTTTAACTCCGGTTTCGAGAGATACGTCTCACTGATCAGAGCCATGTCACTTCGGTCCGCTGGGGTCCAGCTTGTGGAGGTCGGGGAGCTTTCGTCTCCGAAATCATCCTCCAGAGGGTTGCGGAAACCGTCGACCACGATCCAGAATTGAACTAGGGACATGAGCTGCTGACGGTCCATAAACTCCATGAAGTAAGAGAGACCCGACGCATCATGCATGACATCCACTAAGGAGGCTTCCTGAGGAATAGAATTCTTACGGCGAAAGTGGGATACAGCCGCGGAGGCGTGCGACACCTGAGTGCCTCCGGGGGCAGACAGCTTAGCTACTTTTTGGTCCAAGACCCTCTTACCGGTCTCCAGTCGTCGGAGGTAAACTTGGTCCTGTCCTTCCACCATAGTCTCCCGCTTCAGTTGGCTTGCCACCAAGGCTCTGAAGCGTCTGGCGTCCGAAAGATTGTTACAGCGCCGGATGGCCCGGACAAATCGCTCGAAGGCGCGCTCTGAATCGTGGGGACTAAGTCGAGGGAAAGGGTGACCCCTTTTCGACCGGGGAGCCGGGGATGCATGCTCGTCCAGGGCCGCCCTGAGTTTCCGGACAGTCTTACGGTCCTGAATCGCGGTGCGGCCATAGGCCTCCATCAGCTGATTCCATGTGTCCGGATCGGAGAGGACAGAAACGAGAGGGAAGAGCACAGCGCAGGCTACAATCTCACGAATCAAGACGGAAACAATGCGACTATTGAGGACGGATTCCGGAAACAGTTGGGGCAGGAGCCCGACGGCAATTTTGCGGAGGTACTCCTGTTCCAGTAACTTTTGGTCGGAGAGAGACAGCATCGCCGCCGGGTGTAAGTTCCCCTCGCGATACTTGCTCGCGATGGCAATGTCCAACTCTTCCGACTCCGTGACATTCCTGGTAAGATTCCTTCCCCGGACCAAGCGCTCAGCCACCTCAAACTCCTTCAGATGGGATGTCAGAACGGGGAAAATCCGGGACACTACGAGAGAGACAAGGTCTTCCGTCAGGAGCCTATCGCGCAGGTTTCCAATGGCTGTCCGAATCGTATGATCCACCTCGTTGACGAACGTGGGGTTGGGACTGATATGCTGGTACCATGATGCGATGAAATCCCGCGTGGCGAAGGATAGGAGCTCGTCAATCCCTTCCGAGACGATGAAGGATTGTGGGTAAAGTGAATGTGGATTATAGATTGAACGGCTTTTGAATGCCTGGGTTTCTTGATCCCAGTGGTGGCGGGCGAGGAATGCGACGCGGGGGTTCGTGGGCGAAGGTGAAGAAGCAACAGCGTCATTGGGGGAGCGGATGGTGAGAAGCACGAGAGCGAACAACACGGCGGAGGAAAGAAAAGCACCGAGCACCAGAGCATAACCCAGATATCTCAGTATGGGGAGCCATTTGACGGCGAGACCCCAGGCTATAAAGGCACCAATGCCCAGGAGGACATAATCGCGATGCTTCAGGGCCATTCTCCCTGGAGCGGATGCGCTGCCATGCCGGTCAGGCAAGGAAAGCCGATAGGGGGCCGAAGCAAGACATGATGGAGAAAAGAAAGTGAGGACTGCAGGTTAGAGAAGAAGAAGATGGAAGAATCAGAACAAGAGCTATGAGGGGACAATTTTGAGAAGATAACTAAAAGTAAAGAGGAAGAAGAAGGATGAATTGGATCAGGCGGTGAGTTGGAGAGGCTAGTAGTTAGTAGTTGCGTCACTCAGGTACTAGATAACTTAACTCCTTCCTTCAAGGTCTGCAGCTGGGGTTTATTTATGATACTGCGATAGATGTGAATGGTAGTAGTGTAAGTTATAGAAGTTATACTATCATCATCAAAGGAGGAGAGAAATAACTTTGAACTGTGGTACTATACTAGTACATGGTAATTTTGCCTGAGGCCTCGTCTCGTAAGTTGTAACTTGTAAGATCCCGTGCGTCTTTTTCAAGACGTCATGCCGTTTCGGGAATGTTTTCTTCTCTCCACTTCTGCTGCTTGCTACTTCTTCTTCTTGTTGTTGTCCTTCTCTTTGCTTTCCCTTCCCTTCTTCCTTTCCGTCTTCACCTTCTTCTCTTCCCCGTTCCTTGTCCCCTTTCGTCTTTCCTTATACCTCATCTCTCATCTTCTAATCTTCCTTCCTCATGGCTTCCTTGTCCAGCTTTGTCGACTTCTCCCAGCCGTCCCTCCAATGTACGTGGAGCTTTCCCCGGCTAATCCCCTCTCTTTCCTCCCTCCCCGCATGTGATTGTAACTGTTTTTTCTCTCTCTCTCAAATAGGGGCCGCGCTGTCAATCGCCTTTAACCCTATCTTCTGGAAGTAAGTACTCTGCCATATTACATTCTTTCCATTGCTAAACATTATTCTATCCAGCATTGTCGCCCGTGCTGGTTGGTCCCATCTCCCACTCTAAAAACATTTACCCCAGTCCTACGAGGAATCCAGCTCTGGCAGCTTCTGCCTTGGCTCTACCTTTTCCCACGTTCACCTCTTTCCTCCGTTCATTTTACAGTATAAGAGGCTTATGACAAATTCCCTCGGTCATCGCAATCTGTAGAGTATCGGAGTCACTTCTTGACTCGTATATTCGGTAATGCCTACTACGGCTGCTACTTCCTCGCCGTCACCATCTTCAGTCTGGGAATTCTGCGAGATCATGTCTACCAAGTGGCCCTGGAAGACCAACCTTACTATGCCCCTGTGCACCAACCCGTCCTCGGCGGCTTTCTCTTCGCCTTCGGCTCCGTCCTCGTCCTGTCCAGCATGTATGCCCTCGGTGTCACCGGCACCTACCTTGGCGACTACTTCGGTATCCTGATGGATGCGCCTGTCACCGGCTTCCCCTTCAACGTCACTGGTTCCCCCATGTACTGGGGCAGTACTTTGAACTTCTTGGGCGTTGCTCTCTACAGGGGCAAGGTGGCGGGCGTCTTCCTGACGGCCGAGGTCTTCATCCTGTACTGGTTCGCTCTCCAGTGGGAGGAGTAAGTATCCCATCTATCTTTTCTATATTGGCCCACTATGCACCATGGACTTGCCTTCACTCTTTTTTTTTTTGCACACCAAAGCCCATATGCACATGTGTCTCAAGCCCCAACGCAAAATGAGATTTTTTTTCCCCACGCACGGAATTGGTAAACCCCACTAACCCGGGCCTGGTAGTCCCTTCACGGCGGAAATCTACGCCAAGCGGGAACGCGAGCGTGCCAAATCCAAGCGCGGCGGCAAGAGCTTGTAAGCCGAGACTTCACAGGAATCTATGTCCGGGGGTCTGGATTACCGCCCATTGGCCTCCCGCCAATGGAGCTTGGGCCTTTCGACATCATTCCAGTGTCGCCAATCCCTGAGTGGAAACACAGAGCTCGCCAAGCTACTGTTATGAGTCTACACGGGGCTGCATATCATGGTCGGCTAGGCAGTCTGGTTGTGTCCAGTGAGAAGTGGAAGGAAGGGGTGGAGAGTTAGAACGAGAGCGAGCAAAGGGCAGGATGGGGGTAGGCAATGGCAATAACAGCTGGCTACGTAAAGCCACTGAGGAGGAACAGAAGAAGAAATGAAAGCGGGGTTACATTGAGATGCTCAGATAGAACGGAGAAGAAAAACTACTACAACGTTGACCTACCACATGGCAGTCTCCTACTCTCAAGTATAGATAAACAGGAACAACGGGTATCATTTGCTACGCTTGTGCGCTTTCGCCATGATCATCAACTATCATAAAATCACACCATACTCCCGCCAGGAATGGTAAATGAAAGCACCTATTTCACTATCCACATTCCCCCCAAGGGAAAAGAGAAGGGGCAAAAGACCATTTCACTCACACCAATTGTCCGTGGTAGCCTAATATGGGATACCTGGCTCACCTCCCCAAAACGCCGCCAACTCCACGCTATGAGTCTTTGGGAAGCGCAAGTGATATGAGCGTGCATATGGCAAGAGCTGCATCAGAGGGACATCCAAAGCCAAAGCACCTGTCGACTTCAACAAGGATCCAGCCTATGCCCGTCGACCTCGGCCTCTCTTGGTCGACGTCCGGCTCTCCTCCACCGGTTCGATTTCATCCTCATCAGCACCCTTCTTAAGGTCTTCTCCTTCGGCAAGGCCCCATTTCTCCCGATCATACCAGTCTTCTCCATCGCTCATCTCGCCCACGTGCCCTTCCGCTTTGCACCACTCGAGCACATCCTCTTTCATCCGATTGGCCCGGAGCAGAGACTCCAGCATATGCTCAAATCCACGAACGGTCTCCTCCTGCTTTTGTACATAAGACCAAAGCAGTCGACGTGTCTCTTCCGCTTCGTTGGGCGGGAGGCCGAAGTTCGAATCTGGCCGAACAGAGTCCGGTATAAGGAAAAGAGGATGGGGTGTCGGAAGACTCCCTAATGTGTCGTCAGAAGGGGACGGGGAGAGGGGTCCAGATTCGCCCTCCTGTGGGTTCGCTGCATTAGCCTGTGCCCGAGTCGTCATGCGCCGAGGTGGCTCGGGAGATGATCCATCTTGCATTTCTGCATCTGCATCTGCATCCGCATCCGTCCCGTCTACCTGTGCATCGTCTCGAAATTCGGGATCAGGCTGCGCATTGCCCTGGATTGTGGCACCTTCGCGCTCCTTGCCATCCTTGTCCGAAGTGCCATCCGAGTTCGTCACTTTATCCCCATTAGACTTTGCGTTTGCCGTGAGGCTTCCGTTGACTTGTATGACTTGATTGATGGTCTCTGAATGATGAGGCAGGTCGCCAACTGGGGTATCAACTTCTTCTGATTTCGGCTCTCGGGGTTGTTCAAGCGCATTTGTGACGGTTTCTTTGTGCGTCGTCTCCTGGTCATGAATGTCGGTCATCTCAACGTCCTTATCTGCGGCAGTTTTGTCCTGAGCATTCTCGTTCTGGGGAGGCTGAGGCGACTTTGAATCACCTGCACCCACGGACGCGCCTTGCACACTGCTTTTCTGAGCCGAAGGCCCTGGCACCAAAGGACTTGCGGCCCCGTTATGTCTGTATTGACTCCCAGGTGAGCTACGTGTCGTATGGGCTATCCGGGGCTCAAAGATCCATCTGTCTTCAGGCGTCTCCACTGCACCAGACGGCATCCAAGAACTGTCTCCCAAAAACTGCCGGTGTAGATTCCTGGCCCGCCAAAGCAGTGCTCTTTCTTGACGGAGTTTGGCTTCGATTGCCTGCGTCATGTGCAGCAACGCCTTTGACGTATAAGCGTGCGATAGGGAAGGATGGGTAGGGAGCTCGGACGGGTGTTTTAGAGGGCAAAGGAAGTCTAAAATTCAATTGTGGTGCTTGATTAGCAAGAAAACCTGAAAAGGCGTCGAGATGGAACCGAAGGCCTCACTTTCAAGCGCAATTTCCGAAAATGGATTTTCTGCCGCCGCAGCGGCATCAGCTTCGGAATCTTCGTCATCCTCGTCCAACTCATCACCTTCTGAATCATAGCGCACGGGATTAGGCTGAAGGATATAACGCGTGTATCCAGCATGTTCAATTTTCTGTAGAGAGATAAGTTTCCCTAATCGTCAGCGTGCCTTCCTTATCATCATCACCCTGATCGACTAATGCCCCCATGAAAGAGAGATCTTTCGATGGCCGCGGGGGTGGAACTAACCTGTTTATAGAGCTCCTCCGGATGTATGTAACCCAGAGCACCTTCCCGGACGAAGTTTGAGTTTGTGTGTAGTTTATTGCCCCGATTTGTTGGTTGAGTGATCGGATCGTCGGGTCCAGAGTCTAAACAAGAGCGAACGGTTAGAGGGAAAAGATAGAGACAGCGGGGAGAGTAGAGTAAAGGACGCACAGTCATTCTCCTTGCGGAGGGCTCTTTTCATGCCAACAATGGTGTCGGCAATCAGAGCTGCCTGCGCCGCCATGGCCGGAATTGTAGTGGAGGTACTACTACAGCGGAGGCAGCCAGAGTGATGGCGACAGCAGCCGAACGAACGAGGACGGGTTTCCCAAAATGGATAGGGCAAATACGGAGTTCTATGGGACGTAATCGACAAGAAGAAAGCCCAGCACTATGCAGCATGCGAATTGGTATAGGGGAGAGCAGGTGAGGGGAAGAAGAAGGCGAAGAAGCGAGGGGAAGAGACGGAAGAACGAAGTTGAGGTGGAAGACTGGCAGTCCGGGCAGGGAAGGAACGAACGGGCGCAAGTTGCAACTCCGGATTGGGGAGGAGCTGCGGGCGTCGCTCCGATCGCCGCCGCTAGTCCTCTTTTGGTAGCGCGTGATAAGGGCTCGACACGTGAGCGAGAGCGGTAGTTACTATCTTGATAATTAATAAATAGATAGCTACTCTAATTTAAGTTGCACTAAGTGAAAGGATAATGAGTACATCTACTGGGTATCTGTCTATAACACTTGATCTATGATCTCAATTCAATTGAAAATGGTCCAGATCTAAACCCGAGTTCCCCATACATACCACGCTCCACGCTACATACAAACAGTTCTCCATGACCCTCGCCGCACCCTTTAATCGTCGGCATCAACCCAGACTAAGATTCCTTTCTTATCCGACCGCATGTCTTCCGTCGGTAGCACCCGCAGAGTCTTGTTAAAATATGTATCGACTACCAGGAGCTGCGGCTGGATCCACAGACCTCGTTTAGATGCCAGCAAGTTGTACCGGACCGTGTGTCTGCTTAAAGGCACCAACTGCACGACCATCGTCTTCGGTCCGCTGAACGCAAAATTCTCACTTGCTTCCATGCTCAGGTTGAAAGTAAGGAAGTGCATCGACGGGTTCTCTAGGGTGTAATCCAGATGGATCAACCCCGAAAGTGTATCAGACGCCTTAGCTGAGGCGACCACCCGAGGCTCACCTGCTGGCATAACGAATCGAGGGATATCAAGCGTGGTCGTGGTGGTTGTGGATCCGTCGTTCAGCGCGCCGTCGTCTGTTGCACTGCGCCTCCAGCGAATCTCTAGGGCGAGGTTTAAGGTTGTAGGTCTGCGGTCACCCAAGATTTCCTTCTGAAGGTCCATGATGAAGTTAGATTCTCGAAGCTCCTCCGGACGGATCTCCGCCACCTCAGGACTGATAATCTCCTCCGACCCAATGTGACAGGTGGCAGCGCCGCCCAGTCCAAGCAACACTAATGACAGTTTTTCGACAACCAGGGGCTCCACAGCAAAAGAGACGACCTTGGAGTTGAGACACCATCTCTGCTGCAAACCTCCGGGCTTGACTTCATCCCCATTTGGAAGTAACTCGTCATCCACAGTGAAGAAGTCCGGCCAGGGTTGAGGATGAAGGCGTGGAAGGAATTCATAATTGGCCTCGAATGGCCTGATAATTGATAGGCCAACACGCATGCTCGCGATGATAGGCGTCTGGACATCAGAGACGAGGTTGTAGAGCGCAGAGACTTCAAGCTCATAATCCAAAGCATCGTTGGTATCCGTAACCACAATCGTTAGTTCTTGATGAGATGAGCGTTCCATCACCCCTATCGGTCGCTTCAGGTGGTGAGAATTGCCTTCTGTCGGAGTACTCTCCCCAGACCCGTGCATCTCCGAGGAATTCTCCTCATCTAGCCACCGTATCTTAGCCGTGGACTCCGGCCGGCCGAAAAGTCTAGTCTCAACAGAAACATCTGCAGCCTCTTCTTCCTCGTTGTCGACACCTACTCGGAGAATTATTTCCTCATTCGTATAGTATGTTTCTCGAAGGTTCAGCAGCTCTACCCGTATCTTTGGTGGTTTGGGTAGTATCTTACAACGGCCCGTATCGCGGCCTTTGCCCACGCGCCGTCTGCTTGGGCCCTTGGACGTTTGCTGCCACCAGTAGGACTCATATGGAGTCAACTCGGTTATCGCGTTGGTAAGATCAAATTTTTCTTCCTCGACGGTCAATGTTATGGACACGACACGGGACTCCCCGGCTTCTCTGGGAATGCATGTAATATCGTATACCTTAGTCTGGGAAGGCCCAAACGTCAAGTCTGCTAGCCCAGTCAAAGCAGTCAATCCGCTCGTGGGTGATTGCAAAGCTGCCGGGTCTTCAGCCGTACTGGGGTCACGTAGCAATGGCGAAGTTATTGTGCAGGGTGTAGCCGTATCGGCGTCCACGTTGCGATCAGACTGAAGCCGTATTGGCCGCAGGCAACCCTCAAACACTACCTTCACTTCGGAGAATGTGAGAGGGCTTGATGAGGGCTGGGCACAGGAAGTGATGATAAGCTGGCCCTTAGACGGCTCGCCGACATTTCCTTCGGAACTTTGAAAGACGAAAGACGCGGTGACTAGAGCCCGGTGAAATCGTCAGTAAGATTTTTTAGGTGGTTATGGGATGCTTCTGTGATAACTTACCGCTGGGCACGATGTCCTCTGCGCACAGGACCACCGATGGCTTGGGACTCACTAAAGGAAAGTCCTCGAGACTATTATGGAGATCATACATCCAGTCGGGCCGCGGTTGGAACACTGAAAGAATACAATGATGTTAGACAGGTGACTAGTGAAGGCAAGCGAAGCTGCGATGCCAAAACAGTGCAAGACGATTTAGTAATAGAATAAGCTCACCCTTATGTCGGAGTTCCCAGTCAACGCGCAGGACCATATCGCTATCGCTCACGCGTACGGCACATTCCCTTAGGGCCCAGCCAAACCTTTGCATGAGCGGCCACCAGCCCGAACGTCGCCATGACAAAGTCGACCAGAGTGGTCGAAGGATTTCGTAAGCCTCCGGCCATGAGCTTAGGCGCATATATTCTTCTGCAATCTCCAGGCTAATGCTCTCCGCTTTCCGGTTTTGGTCTCTCTTCGAGAACTCTTCGAGTGCCGCTTTCAAGGCATCTAATCTTAACAGTGCGTGGTTGAAACCGACCGCCCCCGGCTGGGGTGCTTCAATATGTGGCTCAGGTACCAGATAGGTGTCGTATAGATAAGACTTATTGGCTATCTGGGACGCGGGAGATTGTCCCGGTGGTATCCGATCGTCTTCTGGAATCTGCTCCGCCAAGGTTCGACGGTACATGGTATACTGCGCCGCTCGATAGAGCCAATAACCTTCATGATGAAGCTGTTCCCACGGAAGATATGCATCCGAAGGGGAAACCGTTTTGTCGCGTGGTACGAAAATTGAGTACTGCTCTTGGAACTGATCCTGGGGGATGCCGACGGAGGTGAAGTAGGGGATATTGGCTTGGCGAATGAGCTGGGCCATTACCATCGACCACCGAGCTTCCCAGGCTGCCCAGCCATAACTCTTGGTGCCTTTTCCGCGCCGGTCGATGATATCTTTTGAACGATTCCGGTGGCTAGTCCAGAACCGCACAGCAGGTGTTGTCTGTCCCGTCATCAACAAGCCGCGAATGATACGTATAGCCAATGCATCCCCCAGAAGGCGTGCATCATTGAACCTAGGATTCCAGCCAGCAATATATTCGAACACCTCTTGACCAAATAGGGTCTCGTATGCGCTTTCATAGTTCCGAAGCGCGGCATCGATCTCTTGGCGGAATTCCGCAAAGATACCCAGTTTGAATTCATATCGAACATTCCATCCTTGAGACGATAAGGTCTGGGACGTCCCACTTGTTGGTGGTGCTGTTGGCGGGGGGATGGTGCCTCGATTTCGTTTGCGCCTGGCGTGCTTCGATAGGTCGCGGTAGTATTCCATCACCGATGGCTGGAGTAGAGACAACAGGGACGTGGCGAATTCCTTCAATTCCACTGGCGTCGCATCGGACGGAAGGAGAAATATAGACTTTTGATCCAGATTCGTTGCCCTCCGAATGCTAGCCATCCTGTCCTCCGTATCCCCAGCATAGCTGCCCGTGCTCTCTTCTGACAAGAGAACAACTATAAATCGAGATTTGTACCCAGAAGAGGCCCATTCCTTCTTCAATCCATTTATTTCTATCTTGAGTTGGTTGTCGCGCAGCGAGCTCATATTAGGATCGAAGCAGAAGGGGAAGAAATTGATCACTGCCGCAGGGACAAGGTCCTGGTGTTTAGTGACCCATAGATGGCTAAGCAGGCCATCTGGAAACGTCGGCGAGCTTGGTGTAAGTGGGGAGATGGGAGAATGAAGGTTGAAGGAGGATCCACGCGATATCTCATCGTCTTGTCCGGCCGTCGGGCTCGTGGGCGATACGGGTGGGGGGTCAGCTTTGCGCGGGGGGAGACTGTAGGACTAGAAGAAGAAGTCAGCGGCGTGAACGCGGGCCTTGCGGCAATAGTACTAGTAGAATTGCCAAATGAGAAGTAGCAAAGGAAGCTTGCGCGTGGTACGAAATCTCGCCCTGTAAGTAGGTGCGGGCGGGCTAGCTGTTTGTCTCCGAAGTGCAGGTGCAACGAGGAAGGGGGTGATGCTTGCTTCGACAGCCAAGGTGTTATCAACCTACCCGTCCAATGCTTCTGATTTTGTACTCAATTCTGGATGAAGATGCATGTGCATCCTCACTAGTATCCCACGGGGCACGGAAAGCGTTTTCCTCGAGAAGTACACGCCGCAATTCCTCCGCAACTGAGCCGGTCAGAGGCGGGAAATCCGAGTATATCTTCACGCCCCTCTCTCGGAGGAGGGGATAATCAGCTCGCACGCACTGCAGATCATCGTCGGAGCTAGCTTCAAGACCGGAGAGCAAAACGAAGGGGAGGTTGTGGGCAACATAATCTTCCGGGTAGGCGTCCATTGCGGACACAAGCTGCTGGGTGGTGCTCTCGGTCACCGCATGTCTGGTTAGGCCGAGGGGTCTTTCAACGGCCACCACGGAGTGATGACTAGTCCGGAAATGGCTTGAAGGATGGTTGTGTTGATAAGACGTTGTCTTCGGTCCCTCGCACGCTGTAGAGCTATAGTTAGTTCCTGCACACTTTTGCCGTCGCAGAACTTCCTACTGCATCAACATTGGTGTTGGAGAGACAAATTGATGGTCCGTTCGGTTACCATCGCCGAAACAACGCCAAGCCAGGCTGTATCTGTCAGGCATCAAGTCTGCATCGATCATGGAAATTTCAGTACTATACTGAACACCATGCATTTATTTTCCAGGTGAGAGAAGCATTAAATGAGACCTGTCGGCGTGTATTGGAATTATCGCCTAATGTGGATGCGTGAGCTTTTTACCATGTGCAAAACCACTGTACTACTTGAGTATATTTCATTTAAGGTACTACTTGGCTACTACTAGACGGCGGTAGAGCCAAGATATATAATCAGCTCTGGCAGACTCACTTCTACCGACACTGACCATTCCACTAGTACTACTATCTTTCAAGGTGGAATTTGTCGCCTACTATGACTACTACTAAATATTGACCTTACCTTATATTTCAAGGTTTTGTTAATAGTACCCAATATCCCCCCCCTCCCCCCCCCCCCGGGGGAAAGTTTCACCTTTGGAACCACTCGACATGTCTTCTCCAGACTCAAGAGATATGATCATTATAGCATCTGTGCATTTGGCACCCGAGTCAGTCATATTCTAATGAAACCTCGAGGTCGGGCATCTGTCTTTTTGGTGGATCCACTGGACCTTGCGGATGATTGTGAAAATCAACTTTTCAGTCCAGCCCCCGTCCACCCTTGGGGTGCACTGCAATATGGCTAACGATTGACTTAAACCCCCCTTCAGATGGGCCGGTAGAATTTGCTGCCTTGAGCTTGTCATCCATATCATGACGCAATAACATGCAGCCCAAATGCACAAGGTCCATGATCCAGCTCATGGAGGGGAGGGGGTCTAACGACCTTGCATATCGTTACCGGATGGATGATCGTCTGTGCAGTCTACAAGCCACAAATGATGGCAAGGGACTCAGGAGGACGGAAATCTCCGTTCCAAGGTCCCGGCTCCAGAACCAGCATCGACCCTCATTTCGATCTCAGCCAGCCTGTGGTCCGGTGGGGAATTGGACGCCGGGGAGCCTCTCCATCGAGTCCATCCAGCTCCTCGCCAATTCGCTTCCGTGGACAGAAACGAAGCTAGCACGAAAGCAAGCCACTACTGATTAACCCATGAGTTAATTAACACAAATACGAAGTATAAGTGAGCAAGGTGGGACATTTATCGTCATCAATCATATACTAAATACCAAAAAGATCATCATCATCATCATCATCATCATCATCATCATCATCCTCATCTCCTGCTGGCAAAAGATCCAAGGGTCATGTCTCCCAACTAACTAGTTAACAGAATTACCATGTTGAAATCTGAAACAAAAGGCTAATCTCATTCTTGAGGAGGCAGTCATGTGCCCCTGGCTAGCAGGCATATCTATCCAATGCTGGACTAGATACTTTTGTATACACACACCTTTGAAATTTGGATCTGCGAACTGTGCGGAGGATGAAATGGCGCGTTCAATTGAAATCGAGGAGTGGAGGCCCTGCAGGGACACTAATTACGGGCGGGGACTCGGTCAGACAAATGACAGGGCAGAAATCCTCCCTCGAATTTCTTTTGGAAGGGTGTCCACTAATTAATCTTTCCCTCCCTCTTCCTCTCTCTCCTTGTTCCTGGCGTGCCGTCTCGCAAAAGCATCCATCAGGTGAGGGTAATAGGCATAGAAGAGAAACTGTGTTCTGCTGATGGATGAGAAGAGAGGGTGGGAGAGGTTGCAGTAAGCATCTACGAAGTACTACTACCTACCTATCTAATGGCCAGCTTCCTTTCCTATCTGTGGCTTTGGGGATCAATTGAATTGATCTCTTTCTCTCTCTCTTTTTCTCCCTTTCTTTCTTTTTTTGTCTCCTTACAATCTTCACTTTCTTTCCTTCCTTCCTTCCTTCCATCCATCCATCGGCTTTCCTCTGCCCCTCCATTCTCTGAACTAAATACTTTTCTTTTTTTGGTACTCCGTACATTTATTTCCCTTTAACGATCGTACCTCCGTCCGTCCATTTTCCTCCACTTACTTAGCTTCTTCCCCTTTTCCTCTTATGATCTAATGCAAATAATATTTATCTTATCCGCTCCCTTCCACCAATCTTTTTCTCTTCCACTCTTCGCGCGCAATTGCGCTATACTAACTCCCAACCAAAACAACCCTTTCAGTCGCCTTCTCCCCCCCCCCCCCCCTTCTCGGATCGGCAGTTCCAACAAACTCCCCCCCTCCCTCTCCCACCCTCCTCGTTAAGGTCTTGCTTATAGACAATCACCGTTCGACAAGGGGGCTTGCTTTTGCAACTTGCAGGGGCTCCATAGGGCCGCCCTGGATCTTCCAGCCTGGATTCTAAGTGGCACATGCGCCAAGCGCCCGCAGTCTATTGATTCTTGCCGTTAAGCTACCGAGCTTGCATACGCTATCTTGCGTTCTCACTGGATCATGCAAGCGCGCACTACGCTCGACCGCATATATCGTCGGTAACTGTCTCCTGATCCTGGCCCGGGGGAACGTTTCTAGACCGTCATATTCCTTGTCAATGGCAACCATGAATCGCGCCGAGGATCCTCTGGCGTCAAAGTCTGATGATGCCCCTTTTCACCTCCCCCCTTCGCTTCCCCGGCATCACAGGTCCATTCCTTCGCGCACGCAGCTTAGTGACCCTTCAGCAACGGCGGTTGACCCGGCGTCTCCCGAAGTCATTTCCTCTCTAATTTCCTCGCTTTCAACAATCTCGGTGCCTCTCCAGTCGCATTTCGACAACATCCCGCGCATTGATACGGAGACGAATCCTTCTGCGCCAGTGTACATTCCCACAGGTCAACCTCCCAGTCTTGACCAACGGCAACCCAGCGAGCATGATCTTTCAGTGAGGAACAGGACGCGGCAGGCGTCTGAGGAGGCATTGCAGACTCCCTTTCTGCATCCAGATGATGCGGCGGCTCCTCCTATCATTCGCATGGCACGGGCGCCTCCATCCCCCAAACATAAAGCGACTTTCGATCCGCCCTTGTCTCCAGGAAGACCGACATCTAGGGGCTCATACACGTCATCTAAGGCAGCGTATGAAGATACTGCGTTTGGTACTATCACCACGGAACCGGGCCCACGAGTGTCTACAGCAAATAGTGTGGCATCTTCGGGCTCTAGGAAGAGCCTGAGAAATCAGTTTGGCCTCCTCAAGAGGCCATCTCGAGAATTTTACAGTGAGAAGGACAGGAAAACCGAACGGCTACGCAAAACGTGTAGCTACAACGACGGCCTGAGACACAATATACCGCGCAGTCGTGCTAGTATACGTTCGTTGTGTTCTATGGCTGACGTCGTGGAGGAGACACGCCCAGTGCGTGCAGCCACCGAGCCCAGCAGGGAACCGACATTCAGCAGACCCTCCAGTAAGGAACGCCATTCGTTGCAAAGCGTTCGCGATAGTGCGCCGAGTACACCCGGCGGTATTGGTAGCGGACGTGTTATTCCTGCTCGCGAGTCTTCGTTGCGCCATAGCTTTTCTTCCAGCCCAAAGCACCGCAGATCCACCCGCCATAGCCGGTACTCTTCAACCAGTAGCAGAGAGATGAAAGTGGACAGTGCGGTATCGGGCGTGGGCAACGAAGCCGAACAGGTAACGAAGCGAATACAAGAATTGAAAGACCAGCAACAAAAGATCAAAAGCGAACTAGAAATAGATGATACCCCGGAGAAGCCTTCTAAGCCTGCCCCCGCCGTCGCATCTGCCCGGGAGATGCAGAATGCCAGTGCCAGCAGCGGAACGATGGAGCATAGGCAGATCGTCCGCCAAGCAAATGGTGGCTTCGACGAGAGTGCGCCGGCCCCAGCAGTCATGACGGGCAAGAGCCGCTCTTCGCTGGCCTCGAAGTCAATCAGTAACCCGCCACCGTCTCTGGAGAGATTTGACCAGCTTGCTCGTTACCGTGGTCCTTTGGAACAATCGACCTCAGCCTTTACCCATAAGCGCTCCCCATCCGGTTCTGCTACTCCCGTTGGTGTCTCGAGTGGGGAGGAACGCCCCACAAGTGCCGATTCCATTGATCTTGCGGTCTACGACTACATATCTTCCCCGAAACTTACCCAGAAGGTGTCACATCCTACATCAGGCCGTACCATAGCGTTCTCCGAGGTTGGAGATCCTAAGGGATATGTGGTACTTTGCTGTCTTGGGATGGGCCTCACCAGATATCTGATGGCGTTCTACGATGAGCTGGCACGATCACTGCGCCTGCGGCTCATTACATTGGATCGTCCCGGTGTGGGAGAAAGCGGCCCCTACGTCGACGAGGTGGGAACTCCCCTCAGTTGGCCTGGTGAGTATCCTCCAGTTTGGTTGTTGCCTTGTCCTTACTGATGATTGTATCCTAGATGATGTCGCCATTGTGTGCAACCACCTCAAAGTTACCAAGTTTTCGATCATGGCGCACTCTGCGGGTGCTATTTATGCGTTGGCTACTGCGCTTCGGATTCCACAGCATATCCGGGGCCGCATTCATCTGTTAGCACCCTGGATTCCACCTTCGCAGCTGTCTAGCATTGGCTCGCAAAAGGCTCCCGTCCCCACGAATGCCGTCCCGTACTCCCAGCGGATTCTCCGAGCCCTACCGACGTCCATTCTCAAGGTGGCCAATTCAAGCTTCATGACTGCAACCAGTGCAAGCCTGACCTCTAGCCTCCCAAAGTCTCCGCGCCGGGCTAAACGGAAAGGGCTGCTCAAGGATAGCTCCAGTCCCACCGGCGCTGAAGCCAAGAGCACCCAACGGCTCCCATCCAAGATCTCCCAGCAAGGGGCAGATTTGAAGGCCCTTGAGGGACTGAAGGCATCTGATTTCTCTGCTGCCGAGGGATACCCGAAGGCCGACCCCACAGCAAGTCAGGTCTTACTTGCCACGTCGCAAGAACGGGAACGCCAGACCGATTACGATAACCGACTTACGCATAAGATTTGGGAGCTAGCGACTACAAATGCAAACCCGGCGGTAGATCTGCTGGTCTGCTTGGAACGTCGTCAGCCCATTGGCTTCCGATATGTGGATATCACCCGCAACGTTGTCATCCACCATGGCAGCCGGGACACCCGTGTCCCGGTGGACAATGTCCGATGGCTGGGGCAAATGATGCGACGATGTGAGGTTCGCGTGCTGGAAGGAGAGGGTCATGGGCTGATGGCCTCGGCGGCAGTGATGGGCAATGTTCTCATGGAGATTGCCAAGGAATGGGAAGATTGGATGATCGTGGTCCAGGGCAAGCGCAGAGCTACCGTTGGAACACGTTCAGGCATTGCAGTCCAAGCGTGATGAAGGTTATGCGGAGCATGCAATTTGTTGCTCGTATAAGGAGGAGGAAGAGAAAGCCGGTGAAGACCCCCGTTTACTGGATGGAGTCTAGAATGGGTCAACCCTAACCGCTGCAGGTTCTGCGGTGCTTTGCTGCGGCTGTTATTCCTCCACATGTGTGTCTATCTAGTGCGTGTCACTAGCAAGACTTGATGCCCTTGTCGTTGTTTTTTCCTCTGCTTTTTCGTGCTTTAAATCATGATACCATCCCTTTATTAGCTCCATACCCCGATCATAGCATACATAGAGATACCTGCTAATATAATGCATAATCAATGTTTATGTCAGTGCAAGAGATGGGAACGAGTAATTCAGCGAATCTGTCCTAGGCGTCAATAATCAGGCTATAGATAGTTATGCGATGTTGTAGATGTTGACAGGACTGCTAGCAGTAGTTAGTAGTAAACTAAATGAAGGGCGGGCCAACCCCGACTAGCTGTTTCTGCCCCACTCGCTCTCATGAATCGGAATCCTTGCCTTGTTTCTCCCCCCGTAAAGTAAACCTCCCCCAAAGTTTCCCCCCATCAGTCATCTACTTCCCCTCCATGCTTATCCTGGGGGTCTAATCTATTGTATTATCATTATTCTTGAAGGTTTCATTCTCATATTTATTATCTTTATCTGATACCAAATCTCGAGCTTTGCAGAGGCTTCGTGGTTGTCTGCTCGCCCAATGTCCAGCTATTCTTGGAATTGGAGCTGCGCCTATGACCTGTCGGCTCAACCAGCCTACTCTTAAACCACGCGAACGCATGCGCATAGCTGCCACTGGCTCGGAATCCTTGTGACGTATAGCAATTACTCAGTATCGGCACCGTGAGAGAGAAAAAAAGGGAGAGAGTTCTACATTTCTCGCCGAATCACCCCCTTCTCTCTTTTCCTTCCTGCCTTGTTCCTGTTTGGACGTGGTGTCACATCTTTGTCAAGATGCTTTCGCAGCGGCGCATTCGGCTTCTGGCCATCGCCGTGGTGGTCATAATCATCATGACTTTCTACTATTCGGTAATATACTCTATGACATCGTGACCATACGGAGGTTCAACGTTACAATGGCTAATGCGATGCATGAATTCCATATAGAGTGAAGCCCGGAGTGTTCAGAACCAACAATTCTACCGATCAACCGTGGCGGCGATGGAGGCTCAAAAGCAGGCAAAGGAAGCCGGAACAGCAGCCAACATACCGCCGCAGAAGGACCAGCCCAAACAGAACCCTATTAAGGAAGAGACGAAGCCTGCCATGGACAACGATAAGGAAGAACCGGCCATCCCAAAGGCCAACAACGATGCGGACGAAGTAGAAGAGATCCCGATTGCAGGCAGAACCAAGATGACAGTACCTAAGAACCGAAATGACCCGGAGAAAGAGACGTCGGAACAGCCGCAAGAACAGAAACCGGAGACAGATGATCATGCGGCCGCCGTGGCCGAGCTGAATGGGATATTGAAGCGGGCACCAAGTACGCAGACTTCTTGTTTTCTTTTCTACTACGGGAGACCTTCCTTTTGGTGTTTAGGAACATTTGCTAACCCTATGTGCTGCTGTCTCCAGTCATTGTATTTTCCAAGTCCTACTGTCCGTATAGCGCCAAGGCGAAGTCTATCCTCTTGGACAAATACTCGATTGTTCCTGCACCTTTTGTGGTGGAGCTTGATAAGCATGAGTTGGGTCGACCGCTGCAGGCGTTGCTGGGAGAAAATACCGGGCGTCGCACTGTCCCGAACGTGTTGGTCAACGGGAAAAGCATTGGAGGAGGGGATGATGTGACGGCTCTGGATCAAAAGGACGAATTGGCTTCAACATTGAGAAGCTTGGGGGGTAAGTGGGTCCAGGAGGTCCATCGTAAAGAATGAAGCCACTAGGAAGGCAGCAAAGAGATGAATGCCTAGTAGTATGGCCGGATTGACAGAAGCAATGGGGTTTCTGTTTTTGAACCAGCAGGCCAGGCACTGAAACCATGGTCTCCATTGGTATCCAAATGGGCTGGCTGGATGGTCTCCAAGCACCACGGATTTGTACAACATAATATGGAAGGTATTTCCCCTAGTGGGTGAAGGGTTTTATGTATTCTAAGTACATAGTAGGGGTGGGTAAACAGGCGATATTTTCATACGAAGTATACTAGTAATAATTGACACCACGATATTTTGTGCAAGAAAGACTTCTGATAACTGGCTTGTGTAGTATGGAGTCTAAGAGCCTTGAGAAATGAGAACATTGCCAGCTGCCCGTAATGCGTGGGGTCCCACACATTAAGTAAAGGAAGAACTCCTCATTTGGCAGGACACAGAGGACAAATGATTGATAACATGGAGTACAAAAGAGAGAGATGGGTATAATTATTCATTATATGATAATTGCCATTCATTATTATAATTGTTAGGCTAATTATTATCTTTCTGCTCGTGAAAAATACTATGAACCAAAAGACGGGTCGGGACTAGACCCAAAACGGGCAGCCCTAGGCGGACAAGAGGACTAATCCGGATTGGGCCGTAAGCGACGCACAACCCGTGATTTTCGCTCCACCACTCCTCGACTGCGGTTTGCCTTGTCGAATTTCGATCCTTTTGACGACCGACCGCTCGACGATATCGACAATTCCCTCGCGGACACACCACAGCCCACGCAGTCAAGATGCGGTACATTTACTCCGAGGAACGGCTGCCTATCCCCGAGAATGGTGAGCTTCGATTTATTCCCCCGATCTTTGTCGCTCTGTTCGCTGCGTGATCGCGGAGGAGGGTCTGGACGGAGGGACAGGCATGGCATCGAGGATTTGGGAGGGAGGTTGAGGATAGCGCTGCGCCAGTTACAAACCGGCAATCGCTAGGGGAATGAAGAGGGAAAAAAAAGAAAGAGAGATGCTACACTGAATGCCTGTCCCCGCGATCGATTCCTGCAATCTCAGTTTTGCGTGATATGATAAAAAGGACATGGGACTGATTCGAATTTCCTCATACAGTGAAGGTTCACATTCGCTCGCGCATTGTGACCGTTGAGGGACCCCGAGGTATGCAAATTCTCCAACAATCCACCACGACCGGCCCCTTTGGAACAATTTCGACCAATTTGTTCTACATGGCGTTTTGTGGCCTACGGCTCGAGCCATGTGCCGCACCCGTCTGTATTCAGCGACACTGACATGGGTCCCTTTTCCCCCTCTTACAGGCAAGCTCGTCAAGGACCTCTCCCACATTGCCGTCACCTTCGGCCGCCCCGAGAAGAATGTCATCTCCATTGAGATGCACCACGGTGTCCGCAAGGGAATGGCCTCCCTTCGTACCGTCCGCACCCTCATCAACAACCTGATCATCGGTGTCACCAAGGGCTTCAAGTACAAGATGCGCTACGTCTACGCTCACTTTCCCATCAACGTCAACATTGAGAAGAACCCCGAGACCGGCCTGCACGACGTTGAGATCAGGTATGCCGAACTCAATCTACTCGCACGCACATCGAAGACTGGGGGATGAGCCGGGATCCGACCAAAGGATTTTTCATAGTCTTTTCCCATTCGGGTTCCGGCTTCTTCCTACCAGTGCTTGGGTCAATTGTCATGTTTTTGGAGGAAAGAACATTTTGCTGATGGGTATTTGCGTTTTACAGAAACTTCTTGGGTGAGAAGTACGTCCGCCGTGTGACCGCCCAGCCTGGCGTTGAGGTCATCACCTCCCCCAACGTTAAGGATGAGCTCCAGATCTCCGGTAACTCCCTGGAGGGTGTCTCCCAGAGTGCTGCCGACATCCAGCAGATCTGCCGTGTCCGCAACAAGGATATCCGTAAGGTAAGAAGAATACCCACCAGATACCTTTTTTGGTTATCTCGTTTGATGACTGACATGATGATTTTTTTTTCACAGTTCCTTGACGGTCTGTACGTGTCGGAGCGGGGTAACATTGTCGAGGAGTAAACGGTGGTTGTCCGCCTTGGTGGGTAGTGACGGATGTCTGGAGAATCTCTTTTTTTTCGCCTACTTGCATAGGGAAGCAACGCGGAATTTAAAACCAAAATCATGGAATTCAAATGCCCCCCCTTGACGTGTTTACGGATCGGGATGACTCCTTGTACCTCCGTTGGGAATGAGAATGACAGTGTGTGCGTGGTGTGTAGACAAAAATTACCGGTCGGCTTTTACTGAGCAATCCAAATATCCTCTTTTCTGTTCCTTTATCGACATTTTAGACGGATTCCCTTGCCATGGATTTGCTGCGTAGTAGAGTGATCGGAATAGTATAGATAATGGGAGTGATTCCATGCATCTTCAATGGTTTGCGGGGAGAGAGGCCCTTCCCCCATCTTGTGTATGTCATCATCGTCTTCCTCTTCCTCTTCATTGTCTTCCATCACTTCTCTCCGCACCCCTCTCTCATTCCCATCAGTTGCTTGTCATTCCAGGATACTTATGTATATGACCATATTCTCTCCCCTCCACATGCTTGGTAGCTTTCCCTGTTTTGTCCAGACCCTGCTGACCGCGTCAAGCATGTGAATGTCGCTTCCCCTCGCCATGTGCCAACGCTGTTCTTGATTTCCCCGCCGAGTGAAAAAGCCCGGTTGTTTCTTTCCAGTCGCAATGGGGTCCTGGACGACCATCTGCCGAATATTCTTCGCTGTCCTAAATATGATACTCGACGTCGCCTTCTTCTGGAAAGAAGTACGTTGTCCCCTGCAGTCCCGCCCTGCCGTGGATGTGGATGTGGATGTGGATGAATGCTACAAGCTAGTTGGTGCCGGGCAGGTAGCTAACGCAGCTCTCCATCTTAAGCGATTACTGTCCTGGTGGAGATCCAAGTCTCCCCGGAAGCGACTGCAACATGTCCTGAGGACAGCATCTACCTTTGAGGAATGGGAAGAGGCTGCTTTCGAGCTTGATGAGCTCCTCAGCATGGATCTCTGGTGAGCAGACTCTCCCTTCCTGCCGAATATACTACTCCGGCGTCCAAAGCATCATCTCCAATCTCTGTTCTTTCCTGACTCTCCTGCCTAGGCGTCAGAATCCCACAAGCCGGCATTATGACTACCGACTGATACTGGGTCGACTGGAAGCTCTTATGAGCGCTCGCGAGGATGAGGATATCCTGACCCTTGCGAACCTGCTTCGCTCCGGGTTACTCCGTAATCTGGGCAACATCACCTCCCCCAAGATGTTTCTGCATGCCTACGCCGGGACCAAGCTTCTCATAGATGACTATATCACACAAGTCGCGCTCTCGATTCAACAGGTCACCGCTCTACAGACGGCTCCAATCCACGACAGCGGATTCTCGTCGCAGGCAAAGCTTGAGCTTTTGCACGATACTCGGCAGGCATTCGGGAGAACGACCCTGCTATTACAGGGCGGTTCCATGTTCGGACTCTGTCACCTCGGTGTGGTGAAGGCTCTCCATTTGCGTGGCCTCTTGCCAAGGATCATCACCGGGACAGGAATGGGGGCGCTCATTGCGGCATTGGTGGGTATCCATAGCGAAGATGAGCTGCTCACCTTCCTTGACAGCGGTGCCATCGATCTAAGCGCCTTCGATCGTAGGCGGCGGATGAAGCGGCCAGAAGAAGAGAGTTGGTGGCTGCCTACTAACCTCGGAGACAGTTGGCTGGGGACAATCTTGCGGCGAGTCAATCGATTCATCCAGAAAGGCTACTTCCTTGATGCGGAGGTGCTGGAAGAATGCGTGCGCGCCAATCTCGGTGATCTCACTTTCGAAGAAGCATATGCCCGGTCCAAGCGTATACTCAATATCACGGTTGCCACATCAAATAAAAACGCTACTCCAAACCTGCTAAACTATTTGACTGCACCGAATGTGGTACGTGACTCTGCACATACGCTCTCTCTGCCCCTATCAAAACTGGACGCTCTATGGACTAACTCCTCTCACAGTTGATCTGGTCCGCCGCTGTGGCCTCCAACGCATCCAACAACTCACTCTACCAGCCAGTCACAATATACTGCAAAGACGAAACAGGCTCGATCGTGCCTTGGCCGCATTCTCGGGATGCAACCTTCTATCAATCCTGGCGTCAAGGTCAATACAAAGAGGAAGAATCACCGCTAGCCCGGATTGCCGAGCTATTCAACGTCAACCATTTCATCGTGTCGCAGGCCCGGCCATACTTAATCCCCTTCCTACGCTCAGACTCCAATCTACTGGACCGTCGCCCAACCGACCAATGGAGCATCACCCGGGCTCTAATGCGTCTCTTCACTGCCGAGCTCCACCACCGCCTCGGACAACTAGACTACATGGGCCTCCTTCCAGCCACTCTTGCACGGCTCGTCATCGAGGAGACCATCCCTGGCCCCCATATCACCCTCGTCCCCGACGTCTCCCTCCTGGACCTCCCCAAGCTCTTCCAGAACCCAAGCAAAGACCGTCTAGCTTACTGGTCTCTCAAAGGAGAGCGAGGCGTCTGGCCCGCCGTCAGCGCATTAAAAGTCCGTTGCGTCATCGAAATCGAGATCGACAAGGGCTACCAGGTCGTGCGTCGACGACAACCATCCGAAAACGCCCCATCAACGCCGCGTCGCATGCCCAATGAGGGACTCCCGCGTCGCCGCAGAGGCTATAGCATCGATTATGGTAGAGATATGCTGAACTTCTCTGGAAGCTTGGATTGCCAGGACGATTCAAACTATTAAGGGTTGTTGCATACCAATCCCTGATGCTTGTGCGGCAACTTACGCACATTTTGCTCTGGTCATCACCTACTACTTACTTCTATTATGGACTATATATATATATATAATGCGATGTATCGTAAGATACAGTAAAGACATACATACCGTTGTTACTAGTAAGTAAGCTGTAAACGGTACCTGTAAGAGTGAAAGTGTTCAAAACCTGACTGCATGACCTTTTCTTTACCGTAGTGCAGGATAGAAAAATCAATATCGTTTTGGATGTACTTCCTCATTTTGAAACTTATTTATAGACAATCTAGTACTTTTTCATAATAGCCGAGATTGAAACACCCGTCATGCAGTGGCGTTCAACTACTACTATCCTGTGAGCCTCACTTCAACGGGGTGGGTGTCCATATCGGATGCGGATATATATATGTGGAAGTGTATCCAGTGGATCATGATGATCTACTTCGCCGAGGCTGGAACTAATGTTACCTTGAGTAGTTACGAGCATTACTAAGACATTAGCTTCGCAAACTGATGATACTGTCCACATCCCCCGAATTAGTACCTATGCGCCGTCTATAACGGCCCTTTGTTATGTTGCGGTTTCCCACATGATAGATAGATCTTCCAGTTCGATTCTGCCTAGTCAAACTACCGAATTTACACTGAATATCATAACTGTAGAATTCGATTTGGAACAGTTCGCCTCACGTACGAATTCGCATATCGACATATGAAACAAGCATAAGGTTTGCGGAGCAATCAGGTATACTTGAAGTATCAGGTGTACGTTGGTAAGGAGGAAGACAGAGTAAATACAGTGACTACCGTTAGACATACCGAGATCGTAAACATGTTATTGACTAGACAAATAGGCTGTAAAAAGTCATATCATCTCAACTGCTGCCAGTGGTCCCTTGAAAGCTATGATATGGTTAGTTCCTTTGTAATATACTTTGTGATATGGGTGGAGAAGACATACATTTCCGCGCATGCACGGCGTACCAGAATGCCGAGATGGCCATGAATCCTACGACGACAACAGAGCCGTAATTCATGGAAACACTAGTGACAGGCAGCGAGGTTGGCATACTGAAAAGAACCAGCTCGAAGGCAATCCAGCATAAGGCGATTACGTTGACGATTGGTCCAAAGATGGGACCACAGGTCCAAGGAGCTTGGGACACCTCGCGACGGCCGTTCAGGAGGCTCAGTGCAATGGGGATAGCGTACGAGACTGCGAGAGCGATGACACCCGCAGAGACAAAGGCAGTGAAGGCCTCGCTGCTACCGAGGTTAATGAGCCCTAGAAGCATCTGAATGACGGTGCCGAAGGTCAAGGACCAGACAGGTACGCCAAGGCCCGGGTGTACGCGCGCCCATAATCGCGAGAGAGGGATAGCGTCATCTCGAGCGATCGCCCAACTGGCTCGCGAAGCGCAGACGGTAATGCTGAGGCTAGCGCAGAAATTGACGATCAGAACAAGCACAGTGAGAGCAAGGCCGCCGCCGGGACTGTCCATGACTACATGGAAAATATATGGCACGACTTGACCAACAGGGGCATTGATGACATCTTCCAAAGGGGGAATGGTGAAGCAGATAGGGAGGATGAAGAATAGACCTGTTATGCACCCTACGGGGACACAGAGACTGAGGGCCCATGGTACCTCCACGGCTGGCTTGTTGCATTCTTCTGCCATGGATGCAACCATGCCGATGGCACAGAACGTGTATGCGGGCGCGAGAAGTCCAATGAAGAAGGAGAAGCCCGACCATCCCGACAAGCTGGAGTCGTAGTGACTTAATGCATAGGCAGCACTATGCCTGCCGGCACCCGCCTTCACAGAGAGCGCAATAAGGATGACAAGAATTGTAAGCACCGTCCAGAGTGCGCAGATCATGTCCACCTGAGGTAGATACCGGTTACCGAATGTACAGATGACGAATGCTCCCAATAAGACAGCGTATAAGATCAGCAAAAGTTGCCAGCTAGTGATCGTCCATCCTGGACGGAACATTGAGATCGAGGCCGCGGCTATGGATGCAAACCCGAAGTTGACCGATAGAGTGATGGTCCAATTGCCAACCAGCCAAACCCAACAGGTAACGAAGGATACAGCTGCTTCAGAGCTCCCTGCAACCCGGTACGACCAGTAATACGGCCCAGCTGAGGTGGGATATCGAGACGCGAGTTCAGCAAGTGAGAGTGCGATACACTCGCATAAGAGGCAAACGACGATCCAGCCGACGAAGATGGACAATGGACCGCCGCCATAGATGGCGTCGAGGAGAGGCCCTCCTTCTCCAAAGGGGATCGCGGCAATGGCTAATGTCTGGAAAAGAAGAGTGAAGACCGAGCGGTTACGACGCAATTGCGGCTTGTACCTCGAGCCTTCGAGCCTGTCCTGCTCGTGTTTGTCTCCTAGTTCTGATATTTGTGCGACTTTTTCCTGGGCAGGGCTGCTAGGCCCCGCCAGCTCGTCATCTTTGGTCGCATCCATCGCAAGAATTAATCCAGGCGGTTAGATCAATGACAGAGCTAAACTGAGTGGCAAGCGTTTGTGGGATATACATGAAAGATTGTGCCCGCTGCCCCTGGGCTATCTAGCAGCCCGGAATCGGTCACACGCCCTTGCAGGCCTGAATAGGAGGTGACATTGTCTTAGGTAACACAACAGGCCATAAACGCACATCTTGTTGAGATTGGTAAGTTATCGGTGGGAGGCGGTAATCGTGTTTCGGCACTCTGGCTGAGCGCCCTTGCATAGCGACCGAGACATGCGTCAGCTTGGTGCGCTGCCTCGGAGCAAGCATATCAAAAGACCATTGAACACCAGTCAGAATAGGTCAACCGATGCAGAACCAGGCCTTCATTGCGTATGGATGCAACAAATAGAAGGCAGCAGACATAGATCCTGGCAGGTTAGTGGAAATGGCCCAGATGTGTGGATTTGGACAGATCTGACAAGTCGCACAAATGAAGACAAAGTCCGCAATCACTCTCAGTGGCGCCACCAATTCCAAATATTCTCTATCATGAGGAACACGTGTAGCCGTTCAACTGTAATCCTGAAGATACAGAATCATTGAATTACCCGCTTTTGTTCAACACACTCCCGGACCTGATACCCCAGGAAGGAAGAATGCGATTCCAAACATGTCGATTTCCCAGCCTGAATATGACGGTGCTATTCGCAGCTTGAGTGCTTGGCCATATCCTGTAGCATTGTACATGAGATCGGTGAGAACACTAAGCAGTATGCTAAGGCGAAAAGCCAACGATAAAGCCTGACAAGTACCAATAGTAGACGTTGCTTGACGGCTTGAAGAGACAGAAAAAAAGTGGAAGCATTCAGATGAAAGAATGGGATAACTGCATTACGTATTCAAACAATAGAAAATATATGACACGCAAATGGATATATCCTACATGAACACAACATGGTACTGCAATCGAAGCACAACTACTAACGCGGACTGAACCTCACCTAAAGTTCATGCACCAAACGGGCGGCATAGGTATAGACAGCTGTCTCAATCAGTGGTCTGTCCACCATTAGACTGCACTTTGGGGACGGCGCCCTGACTGGCGAGATGGAGGACGAAGGGATCGAGGGCGCAGGGAACGAGCGCGAGAAGTGGGTCGAGAGTCAGCTTCGGATGGCACATAAGCCAACGTGGGAACTGCGTCGCGAGTCAGTGAACGAACGCCAGAAAAACGGCATACATGGAACTTACTGCTGAATGCATAGCCTTCAGTTGCTGCGTCCCGATCTTGGGGGTTGATTTCCACCCGGATGGCCACGTCCAGACCTCCCCACATGTCGCTGCTGCTACTGAACCCATCGGCGGCAGGGTGAGTCGAGCCGGCATTTTTCTCGCCCTTGTGGAGGGGAGAGTGTCCGTCCATGGCAATGGGGAACGAGGTAATGTCGTCCTGAGCCGTTGCGGCATTGCCATTAGACTCGGGCGTCTCAATCTCGGTGATACAGGCATAGTTTCGCGATGGCATCGTTACTTTATTCCAGGTGGCGCTCTTCTCTTGCCCACCGGGCTGGCGGTCAAAGAAGTCCATTAGCGTTTCATCAGTGTGCGAATCCATGTGATGGAGTTTGTTTCGCCGCGCGAGGAGATTTGCGACGGCCTTGGGCGGAGGCTTATTGGTGATCGCACTGCTAATGACATTGACCATGTACCGCGGGTCGTGTTCACTGTGGATGCGAAGACTGGGGTTCGAATAGAACCTTCCGATGGCCGCCAAATGCACATCACCACCCAGAATTGTCACCCGTACTGAATGGGCCTTGGCAAAGTCCTGTAGACGCTGGATGAAGATGCGTCGTTCTTTCTTGTGTTGCCGGGCCGTGTAATGATCGTCTAGGTCGTCCAACAGATCCACCTGGCCATCGAACTGATTGAACAGACCTCCTGCGAAACCAAACCGCTTGTTCAGCAGACGAATCGGGGCAATGATGGGCGAACTCAGAATGTTCTCCAGCCATGCAAGACGGGGATAAGCAATCGGGACACCCAGAAGCACGACCAGATGCTTGATGTCTCCATTTGCTGCTGCCACTTCGCTCTGAAGCCGAGAGAAAATAAGATCGTACGTGTCTGGGTAGTTCACCTGGTGACGAGTGCGCTCGGTGCGCGCATCAACGCCAATGAAGGCAATCCGCTTTCCGAGGCGCATGTACAGGTTCCTGCTCCTTTCCTCCACGTAAGGTCCTGGACGTTTACCGATAATCCAGCTGTCATCTTCCTGCTGTTCGTCCAGAACAAAAGTGTTCTCAAGCTGTCGTGGATCCGCGCCGGCGGTGCCATTGACGGCGTGCATAGTCTGCGGGGCATCGGTAGTGTAGGTCGACTTTGGCGGAGCGATGTGATGCTGGAAGAGGCAGTAATACTTAAAGGCAACGCCGCCAATGCCTCGAAAGACGGAGCAGCGCATGAAATGGTCGGTGTACGAGCCGAAGCCGTCGATGATATCATGGTCATCCCAGATATTGATTTGTGGGATCCGCCCGTTTGCACCCTTGAATGGCTGGGTAGAATACCACCGGACATAGTTTGCATAATAGTACTCGTCACACCTGGCGCGCAGGTTGTTGTCGAAGTTGTGGGCGCGTCTTGTGTGAGGATTGGAGATGGAAGTCCATTCCTTAAGTGGTCCGTCCACACGGATTCCATCGTTGTAGAGCTGATCGCCACCACCGATCATGACATGGAAGGGTTTCTGCGCGTGCACGCGCAAGACATCATTCCAAAGGTTAGGCCCAACCCATGCGTTCATGTCCGTACCAACGGAGAAGCCATTGCACGAGTGGAACATCATACGCATTGACTGGTTTACAGAAGGAACCGCGAAGTCCCATGATGAAGGTGCTTCATCGCCCTCCGCATAAGTAAATCCCGGGATCGTGTACTCCCAGCGCGCTTCATAAGATTCCAGAGCGAAGGAGAGGGAGAAACGCCAGAACGCCTTCTGGGGATCCTCATACAGACGGACACCATCCACGGTCACAGCAGAGTCGCCCGCACGAGCACCATTGCCGGCGTGACTGGCCCCAATGGGGCCAGCCTGGCGTAAAAGCAGCCGTGGCTGGCTCTGACCCGGTTTAGTAACGATCAAGACACTCCCACGCCAAATTGAGGAAGAGGGATTGACATCCATGTTCTTGAAATTGATCAAAGGGCCGCATATTACGTCCACCTGGGCATTGAGGTCGGACGCATGGCCATTCATGGCCGCGACAGGGGCATGGGCTGATGATGTCAGTTACAAGATCCCGAGTATCGTAGGCAATGAAGCCTGGATGGAAGCGTCAAGGGATTGAAAGACAGTAGCTTACCGGGAAGAGCCATGCCGAAGAGATTTGGGAGTAATGGTAGTAGTCGTAGGAGTAGTAATTGAGGTTGAAGTTGGAGTAGATGTAGAATACCAAAAATACCGGAATTATCGGAGATGGAGCAGAACAGGGAATGGCAGGCGATATGGAAGTAGTAGTGATTATTTGCAAAAAGAGGAAAGAGAAAAAAGACAGGTATAGGGTATCAAGAAAACAGCCAAGAGGACAAGAATGAATAAGAAAGGAAGGAAGGGCAGGGCGCGGGTTGAGTGAGATGTTTGGAATGGGAAGGAAGGAGTGATCCTGAAAGTCAAGTTTAGGAAGGAACGACGGGATACAGCCAATGCTTGTTTTTTAAAGGCCGAGGAACTGCCAGCTGACTTTCAGCCCACCGTGACAGGAAAGCAGAATTAAGGTGCAGCTAGGCGAGGGGGCCAAGAGTAAAAAAGAAAGAGAGAGAGAGAGAGAGAGAGAGAGAGAGAGAAAGAATGGTTGAGATCTCGTATGGCAGGCCCCAACAATATGGAAGCGAGTCAAGCGACGGTCGCACGATGAACGGGATCGAACCGTGTACAGGTCGGGAGTAGAAGGGAGTAGGGCTGCAGGGCTGAGAAGGGGAGGGGAGACTGAGAGAACGACGGAAAGAGAGCGAGAGCGAGAGTGGAAGGTGGGTGGGATGAATGGAAGAGAAGGACGGGCACAAGGCTGGCTTGGGTTTGCCTGCATGTACCTCGAGAGCGCAGGGTGAAGTTACACGGGGGCGGACTATTTAGTGACGGGTACCTATCTACTAGTAGTACTTAGTACTAGGCAGTGGCACTTGTGCCCTCAAGGGACTCTCGCCAAAAATTGAAATGCACAGTAGATCGTACTCCTCCAATCACCGTGGACTCTTCATAAGGAAGATTTCTAATGCGGACTCCTGGCAGGCTGCGCGGACCCCCAATTCTCCGACAGATTAGCGATCTTGGCAGCAGTTTCTCAGGGGTTCAGCTTGGCTCTCCGACCAAGACTCGGTAGGGATGAACAGTAAGTAGGAGGAGTAAGTTATCTATAGGCCATAGGGTCCATTAGGGAGGAGAAGGAGGAGTACTATGGATACCTTACGAAGCTGGGTCAGGTACTACCATGGATGTCGGCTAAATGGTACACGGTAAGTACACCGTTCTCCCTGAAATTATAATCCTCCAAATCGCGTCGAGGATTACCGCTGATCGTTTGTTTCCTTGGCTCATCTTATGAACTGTCACTTGATTGGACAGGAGCGGAGAGCTGGTGATGACTGCCCAGAGATAGCGGGGCGCTTAACCTTCCCATCTGGGCCAATAAACACCTGCCGGCATACCCGGTGGGGCGATCCATGACCGGCTGTCCCACTGCAGAGCCACTCTCAAGCCACACTGGCTTTGCGGCTAACCCCGATTGGTGGGCGGCGGTGCAGCATCGCTGTGGCTGCCTAACTGGAATACTAGCTGGGATAGCTCGAGTGGGTGGCCTTGGCGGTGGATCGTAATGATTCAGTTCAGTTCCAACGTGTTTGTTCGTTACAGGACAAGTCTGTCTGTCTCTACGGAGTAGTTTTAGACAATTATTCAGCTGTGACCACTTTGTGGCTAGGTGTCATGTGATATCCGATTGATGATATGTATGTAAGTTATGGCATGTATGTATGGCATCGTCAGTACCGTGCTTTCCCGATGCAGGTCATCAAGATACATGCATCCACGTGATGCTGTGCTCCGTCTGTTCCACCAGAACTGCGAGGTTGTGAAATTCCTCGTAGATATAATACCAATGAAACGGAAGCTGCCGCGCATCATGCTTCGTGATGCTCATAACATTACTTCTACCTTGATTAGTATCACTTTCATCGGACCTCGCTAGCTGCAAGGCCCTGTTGCGCGACGTTGGAACCGTCTTTGCCTTGGAAGTCCCTACGATCTCGCAGCCTCGCAACCTATGGCTTCAACTGAAGATTATGATACTGATTCTAAGAGACACTTGCTACCAGTCAATTATGATGAAAGGAGTCATGTCAGATGTAATGTTCGCATGTCATGGAACTTTTAAAAGAAAGGTAAAGACATCTTCATCCTGCGAGAGAACGATGTGAAACAATTATCCATCAATTGACCTCAAAGGATACAAAGAAGTGGTAATAGACACCACCAACAGAACGCTAGAATGGTCCGCCAGGTGGTCATGTTCAAAGTGACTCCAAACATCCGCATTTAGACATGGTCCGGACTCAAAACATCCAGAGTACTTCACTTCCAACGCACTCCATAGAGCGCCCTGCATTTAATTCCACCATATTAATCAAAGTCTGGAATGGGAATACTGTCCTCTACCAGCATGTGAACTCTTTCTCTTCCCCAGGCCATGATCCTCAGCTGCATCCCCTTTCTCCACAGAGTCTTACCCCGTAGTCGTCAGTCTCATCTCCGAGAGAATCGTCTCCAACTGTTCTCGGATACTGACATTGTCAAGTTCTGGATGTGCCTGCGAAAGATCAGACATCCGCCTCAAGAGCACTGGAACAGGTGATTTGCGGGACTCAGAGGCATCGGAGAAGCTATCTTCTTCACTTGATGAAGTGCTATGCCCTGATGCTGTAGCAATCCAGTCCCTGTGCGATCGAGCCCGATCAAGGTGACGGGACTTAGCCTGCGAAGCCTTAGGAGCAGGAGAGGACAGTATGCTCGACGCCAATGCCTGTTTTGATCTCTCAACTATTTCTCTGAAAGTTGATTCTGGCGACTTGGGGACGCTGGCATCAATTGGCAAGGTAAACACGTCCTGCAAGCCTTGCTCGTGGCATTCTCTCCGCCCATCTTGGTACTGCTGGCGAAGCTTGCTGGCAGTATCCAGACTGGGCGCACATCCCCTAACATTCTCAAGCTCATGTGCTTCAGGGACGTGAAGGGTCATCAAGTCATCGATGTAGCGGCTCCTCGCTTTCTCGCATCTTTCTTGCTCTTCCGTATAGCCCTTTTGGACACGCTTCCAGAATCTAGCCGAGGCGCAGGCCAAGATTCTGCGACACTCATCCTCATACCTCTGAAAATCTGCAATGAGAGACTCGGCTCCAGGTACACATGGCAGGATCAGCGGCTCTGCCATATCTACGACCCATAGACAGAAGTTGATGACAATCACCAGCTCCATGCCGGGATCCTCACTGGCTCCCGCGCCCTCCCAGTTATCCACAACATACCTGCCCTTGCTAAGAATACCCACGCCCGGATCTAGCTTACATTCGTCAATGCACTGCCGGAGGGTATCACGCAAGGCCTTGATTTGCACTTCGTACCGGTTAAAGCCCTCATTCCAGACGCACCAGACGTCGTCGATGTATTCCGGTAACCAAGCAAACTGACGGACAAAGAGATTACCGCTGTCGAAATCGAAACCCAAGATATAGGCCTTGTCAGCGGGAGCAGCAGGATTACCACGAACAGGCAAGCAATTGATCAGCATAATAGGGTCGTTATCTTCACCGATACCGTTTGGATGATAAGTCTGTAGATCAGATAGCTGACTGTAAAGACAGGGACGGCACTCATCGCCATCAAATAAGAACATGCTGTTGCGTCTCGTATTATCGTCCATGCCCCTTTCGTTGTGAGCGAGGTACAAGTGATAATCGATCTTGTTCAACCCAAACCATGTCAGAATATAAGCTGGGGATTCGCTTGTCGGATATTCGTCGGCATCAGAGAGTTCATCAACATCCGCGCTCTCTTCGGCAGGTAAAGTAATGGAGTCTCGTGCCCACGTTGTCTCGAAACACTCAACATCGTGCATAGGAGGTTCAATCAAGACTGTCTGAGCCACATCCGAAACGTGATCCAAGTCCTCATCTGTGGTGTGGGAACCTTCAAGTTCAGTAAGGGAAAAAGTGGCATTTTTAAGCTCCTGTGGGTCCAAGATTGCGCCTTTGCAACTCTTCACCAGTTTTGGTATCAAAGAGAGGGGCTCAACCTCGGAGCTTATGAGAACCTGGGCTGGCATGGTGACAAAAATAAGCAGGATCTGAAAGCACTCGAGGACTGTTCATACAACAACCGCGAAGCAGCAGCAATGTGTCGACTACGTCCCGGGTTCCAAGGGATGAGCGTGCTCTGAAGCAACAGACCGTGATATATCAATCTGGAGGAAAAGAAGGTTGAGGATATGTGGATTGACAGAAAGAACGAGTAAATCGAGGCGACAACGAAGATGATGTAGAATGGCCTGGTTTGTGGAGATTTCAAGTTCCTCGAGGAAGAAATGATATTGAGCAGATAGAGGTTCTCTGTGACAACAGAAATTGGGGTTGTGAGCGAGGTGCCATTCACTGACAGGTTGGGCTAGGCGAGTGTCTGGAGAGAGATGGGTCTTTGCCAGATCACCTCAAGATGGAAAAAGAACAAGACCCTACATACTGACGCGTTCTACAATTCGCATATACAAGTATGAATATAGCAACTGCATGAAGTGGAGACAGATGTGGGACGTGCGCGTCGAACAGAGGAAGAGTGCCATGCGTACGTGCGTGGGAAAGGTACTATGGTGTTTATTTATAGACAGACGAACTTGCTACTAGTGAGAAGGGGACAACCCCAGAGTATGTCCATTCTACTCGTTCATATGCAGTCTATGTGTGGCTCTACCCATCTTTCCATTTATGATCCGCCGGGAAGTACCATGTTAAAGGGGTACCTGTCATACATCCAACAACACCAGATAGTCCTTCAGCGCAACAGAGGATAAAAGGTGATCACCGGGATATACATTATTTGGATGATACGTTGTCCATCTAACCCTTGTCCTTGCATCGGACAGGGTACATCCAGAGGAAAACAGGAGCAAGAACCAGACAACAACCCGAGACTTTACAGGATACCCAGATTTACGACATAGCTTATCTCCCTGAATAGAGAAAAAGTTCGTACAATCTAACTTTCCAGAATGCGAAACTATAAATACACAGCTACCAGCAATCTAGCAGTAGCTAATAGCACAGCTTCAAAGAAAGAACCCAAGTGAAGTTAGGTTCTAATTCTTCGAAGACAGCCAGCGATACCACGTCCCACTACCATCAGGATGTTTCCGTTCCGTCTTTGGCCGACAGAAAGCCCAGGAAATACCCGTCAAGTAACCACCCATATGGGCCCAGTGATCGAGTTTATGAGGACCACGTAGTCGTCGAACCAATGTGATCGCTTCGAGAGCAACCATGGTGGTGATGATGGACCATCCGGGGACGGAAAGCATCTTCTTCCATTCTTCTGGGAGGAAGAAGAATTGCAGGTTTTCGCTGTGGGATGTTAGTTTTCTTGGATTCAATTCAAGAAGGGGAAAAGATGGGAAGGGGTACGTACTTAGCATTCAACGTGCAGTAAGCTGCTATGACTCCCGAGAGGGCACCACTGGCACCGAGCGCGCTGACAGTCCATTGAGCCATGAGACAGTGAGCTGTGAGGGTGACGAACGAGCCGACAACTCCAGAGGCGATGTAGAGCGATAGGAATTCTCCGCGGCCGATTTCATCGTGCACTGTGAGCAGTTACACACATATGTCAGTTTTGGAGTTTGAGAACTCGAAGCAGAGAATAGGGGAGAACCACGCACACTTGGTTCCAATAAACCACAGAAACACCATATTCGAGATAAAATGTTTAGGGTACTGATGGCTGAAGATGTTGCCGAGGAGTCTCAGGGGAGGATTAGGGTTCGCGGGGATGCTGATCAAGTAACGGTTGAAGAGTCTCCAGCACGGAGGGAACCACCAGAGCGCGAAAATGGCCGTATTGATACCGATGATGGTGCCGACCGTTGCAGCTGAGCGAGGAATATTGGGCCATAGTCTGTCGGAGGTTGCGGGCGGTTCGTAGTACATAGTGTAGGCGTAGCAGAGACCCAGGGTTAGGAGCAAGAACGCAAACGAGGGGAGAAGCCGTTGACGCTGTTTATGGGATCAGAAAAGGCAATCATGCAAGATGATGAAATGAGAGATTTACCAGGGTGAGCTTGTTCAGATCAAAGTCCAAGTCCTCCGCAGCCATGTAATTCTTCTGCACCCAAGCAAGAACAGGACGCTGCTTGGGGTCCGCAAGTTGTCGGTCTGCAACCACATATAGTGTTAGCCATCCAGCAATGAACCCAATGCTTATACTACTTTAACATACCCTTCGGCGCAATCTCCAATGCAGTCTTCTCATCCACATTCCTCAAAGCCAGACTGTTCTTCTCGAATGAGCGCCTAACCCTCTCATCATGCTGCATGCCCCGGGACAACCACTCCTGCCGTTTCCTCTCCTGCTCAGCCAGCAAGTACGCCTCATTCTGCGTCCGGACTTCCTCCAACACACTCTTTCCCGACGGGTTATGCGACGCACCCGCTCCCCCATTTACATCAGCTCCATACTCCCCACCCTGCGGCATATACCGCTGTACATTTCTCGCTTCCTCCTCGTCCATTTCGCGCTCAACGCGGGCCAGAATCGCGGCATCTTCGTCGACCGGGTAGTTCGCACGGAGGTACTTGAGTGCTAGCTCGAGACTGCGCGGGTGCACGGAGCGGACGATATCAGCGGGGAGGTTTAGGTCCAGGGTGCCGAGGAGACGGCGGCCATGGAGGACGGCGAGGACACGGTTTGCTAGGGCTGGGGGAAGTTTGGTACGTGGACCGAAGATAGTTCTCAATTCGGTGGTCGTGAAGGGTGTTGAGCGGGGATGAGTGCCTTGTTCTTGGGGTTGGTCTGGAGTTGTTGGGTGTTTGGCACGGAGGGAGTGGGTGTTGTGGAGGGAGCGAATGAGGGTGAGGGATGAGGAGGGAGCGGTTGACTGTCTGGAGAGAACTGGAGATTGATTTGGCCAGGAGCTTAAGAGGCGCCTGGCAATGTTATCGGGTTGCCATGGGAGGGTGTTTGTAGAGGCGGAGAGACGAAGAGGAGCGGAGGATCGCAGCGGTGATGTTGATGTTGATGGGGCAAGCCAGCTCGAGGCGCGGAGCCCCGGGCATGGTATGCGCCAGGCTACGCCCAACGCATTGCTCATCTCCTGCAATGAGGGGTCCGGGAACCCGTATCACAATGGACGATGCTGTTGATTGTTGGTGGTGGATTTGATGGAGTGCGGAGAGAGCCGGATTTTCTCCGTCTGCCGAGAGGAATGTTCCGCAGTGAGACTAAGCAGTATAGTTACTTGATGGTTGGTAGAGCTAGTAGTCCACTGGGTTATGTCTGTATTATAAACATGGCGAAATGCAGAAACCACCTACAATTTCGGTTCAATTGAAGTAAATGAGAACTACATAGTTTCTAGTATTGTATTTCTAGAAAAGAAACAGCATCCCGAATAGCCTCATGCACGTGGACCATCACGTGGAGATAACACGATCACATTCCCTGGTCCGATAAGCTTCAACTGAACTTCCCAGACGAAATGACTTTTGGATTGCTATAGAAACATCTTCATTCATCTATTTACTTTGTCTCTATCTATCAAACCCTCCATCCCACCTTACATATACGCATCAAACCTCGACACAACCAAGCAACCATGTCCGCCGAATCCCTCCCCATCAGCCCCGCCGCCTTCGCCGAAGCCATCAAAGAGCTTCCCCTCCCTGTGCTCTACGCCAAAGTCTCCGAGATCCGCAACTCCATGGCGCACCTCCACCGCTCCAACCAGGAACTGAGGACATTCATCAATGAATCATGCGACACGGACTCCGAAAAGCAAGAACTAGAGGCATATATTAAGGAGAACGAGGACGTGGCAGTGTCTATGCTGGAGAGGATCGAGCTACTGAAGACTGAGGTGGAAAATCGGGGACAGAAATGGATTGAGCTGGAGGATCCGGAAAAGGAGAAGGTGAAGGAGAATGGTGAAGGGACTGCCAATGGAAATGAGAATGGAACGGTGGAAGGGACGGAGGAGGTGCGGAACCCCGCTGCGGGGAATGAGGACCGGAATCAAGAACACGACCAGGACCAGGACCAGGAGGGAGTTTATCTGTAGTCGTGAGTCTCCGTCTTGGTGAAGAATTCGAGACCAGGAAAGGTACAATGCGGCTTTTGAGGAATATCCATCTATCGCATACGAGAACTCCTACATGGGCAGCTACCGACTACCTCACCTACCGCCGAGAGTGTCGCAATGTCGCATTTGCAGGCCATTTGAACCACTGTCCGGTCAGCCTTCTCTATTGGGTACAGTTCAATTGGGTACAGTCGAAGCGTGAGAGACGTCGCGCCGCTGATTGTGTCCATGCTAGTCGAAATCTAGTCCTTCCGAAGGAAAGCCCTACTTTATCTTCATGCTGATTGTTCATAATCTCAATTTGGCTGATCAGTGTCATCTCCACGTCAGGCTAGTTCCAGGTAAATAATCTCAAAATGCTCTCGTCCAGCCAGGATGCGCAAGGTTAATCTAGGCTACAAGAATCACGTAGTCAGTGGGGATCCCACGACTGGATATGCAGGAAATCACAGGAAGAACATATTCACACCGCATGCTAAATGCTTAACGCCAACTCTGTGTCACGTAATCCACGCGGCGTCCTGAAGAAGTCAAGACACCATGAAACCGCGATCATAGGATCGAGTCGGTTCGTCTAATCCGATCAAAGGGTTCCAACGCCAGGTCGGACCGCTTTCTTACTTGGGGAAAGAAGAATGGGAGTTCTGCTGCGCCCTAGCTCAGCTAGAGGCTTGCTGGCCCCAGTGGCCACCTGCTAGCGCCTCCGGAGGGATGCGCTGCTGCTTGATGAACAGGTCGATCAGGGGTTGCATGGGCTCCATTTCCTTATCAGAGACGAGCTTGTAGTACTTGGCCACCGTGACGAAGTGGACAAAGCACATGTTAAGGATGTCATGCTTGTTAATGTGCCAGAAGGGGTTCAGCCAGTGCGCGTGGTACAAGTGGGCGTAGCATCGGAACATCTGCTTCATGATGCCCTGGCAGTCTTTATAGAACGTCTGAGGGAAGCCGCTGGACTTGCCAATCCACTCCTCTCCGGAAGTAGCGCTGGGGCCGCCTGCTTCATTGACCGCAAAAGTGTCTGGTACACCAGTAACCTTTTCCGTAGGGAACATGACAGGGTCGTGAATCTTGCTGACAATCCATTTCTCAACACGGTTGATGAACTTGGGGGCCGAGATCTTGGCGGCACGACCGTCGACCAGCCAGGTGTAGGTCAAGCTATCCGACGATGCCCATGTTAGACTGGTTTCCGGATCTTAAGCGCGGGGGAAAAAGCAACTTACCGACCAGCCGACATGGTGGGGCAGGTGTTCTCGTTACAGATCGGCAGTCCTGTAAGGCTATTGACCTCCTGGATAACCTGGAGCATGCCATGGAGCAAGCGATATTGTTCAACGACTGTGTGGAGAAAAACGATCAGCGCGGGGGTCTCTCCGAGCGGAAGAGGCAGCAAGTCCGCTTACTTTGATGGGCCAGCCATTCACCCAGCTCCACGTTCTTGGGACAGGCACACAACGTCAAGAAGTTACCCTTCACATTGAGAGGGGCATATTTCTCCTGAAAGAAGTACTTGGGAGCATCGGGGTCGTAGGTGGAGGAGGTGTCCACGGAGAGACTCGAGGTGAGGGACGGCGAGTTGGGCACATGGCCGGCGGGAGGCATCTGGGACGCCGGCGACGGAGCCGGACTTCCATTGTTCATCTTTGCGGGATTGTTATTGTTGTTGTTGTTGTTCTTGTTGTTATTGCCTCTGCCAAACCCTTGGCGGCTGGGAAGGGGGAAACAAGTCGCAAGTCAGTCCTGGCTGGTGTCCAGACGGAGATGTGGGGGGAAGAAGGGAAAAGGAGAGGGCGTCAGGAGATGAAGCCGCAGCGCTGAAACAAAGGACACAGACTGGTGGACGTGGCCACTGATTTCAGGGGGCATCATTCTTTTGGTGCGCCCAGGCATGTTGCAGCACTGTCCACCCAGAGAGAGCGCATGCGAGTGAAGGGTCCAACAGGGACGGGATGCATGATTAGGGGAAGAGGAGGGGAAGGCACATACACACTCTGGAAGAAGGTCGCCATGATGAACGGGAATACACGTGTGCGGGAACACTGACTAATCTGGCGATCAGGCAATCCGAGATAGTTCAGTGAGAGATCCGAGGGGATTGAAGAGGGGGGAGGGAACAATCCACGACGGAGTTAACAGGGAAAGAGTTGGGGAGGAAGTGAGGAGGAATGAATGAATGAATGAATGAGTTTGGGGATGTCCCGATCTGGAATTCGACTGATTCGGTCTGGCCCGTCCACCTGCCCGCCGCCCTAGTCCCTCCTGGGCCCGGAAGGGATCATTCTATCCACCGAGGGGGTCTGTTACTTTCACTAACTCAACTGATAGTTTATTGAGTCTGAACTAGTAATAATTAACAGCTACCGCGCAGCTCATCCCAGAGTCGCCCAGCCCCATTGATCGCACTCTGGCCCTGGTGTTATTCCTATTCTACCCTCTTCTCAGTCTCTCTTTTTCATACAGGGCCTTATCCAAGAACAATTATCTCCCAACACTTCAGCTGTTCCTAGCACCAAACACAACTTCATCTTCGGCATTGACCGCGCACCCGCCGGAGCTCTCTCTTTCCCACCCATAATGTCTTCTTCAGATGAGGATGTCGTACGCCGTCCGGGGCGCAGTACAGGTGCCGGTCAACCAGGCAGTCCGTCTGCAAGTGAACACAGCGAGGCTCCGGCGCGAAGTCAGAGTCCCGCGGGCTCGGATGCGGGCAACGCGAACGGCTACGATGATGCGGATCTGTTTGGTTCGGATGCTTCCGACGGAGGATTTGGCGATGATAATGAGTATGGTCAATCGCTCCTGTTGCTGGAGAGACATTCATTGACTGGTAAACAGACGACCCCAGCGGACGCTCGACGACGAAGAACTCGATTCCGGAGATGACGTGGATCGCAATGATCGGGTTGGAGAGCCCATGGACTACGAAGGAGGCGCAGACTATGAGGAGACGGTAAACATCATGGACATGAGCTTGAGCCGGGCGCCAGAGCCTGTGACTTCGAACGGCGAGGTATGTTCCACAAGTATCCACCTGCTGCATGACCCCGGACTCACCATTGCCCATTCTAGGTCTACACAATGCCAGTACCCCCTTTCCTATCCGTTGAAACGGAAGAATTCAACCCAGAGACCTATGTTCCACCTCCATTCACGACAGCGGCCACGTCGCTCTGCTGGCGCCATGACCCCCAGAACGAGTCGCTGCTGCAATCGAACGCACGAATCATCCGCTGGGAGGATGGTTCCATGACATTGCAGCTGGCGTCCGCGCCAAAGGAGCAATACCGTATCTCGACCAAGCCACTGGCACCTCTCAGCAAGTCTGGAGAATACGACACTAAGCTAGACTCGCACGTTTATTTGGGAGCAGCCGCAGAAGCCTCCTCGGTCTTCCGGTTGACGTCCCATCTCACCCATGGACTTACGGTCTACCCCACGACCGTGGAGACTGACGACGCCGTGCAGCGTCTGCAGGAGTCGCTAGCAGCAGCAGCTCGTGGTGGCAAGAAGACGCTGGACGGATCGGCACCGGTTATCGAGGTCAAGGAGGACCCCGAACTCGCCAAGCGGCAGGCAGAAATGGCCGAGCGTGAGAAGCTGAAGGCTGCTCGTCGCCGCCAGCAGCTTCAGGACCGCGAGATGGACCGTGGCCGCCGTCATGGATTCACCCAGCGCACCGGAGGTGCTGGTCTCACAGTGGGTGGCCTGGAAGATGACGATGGTCTCCTAACTACCCGGCCTCGCGCGAAGAAGCCTCGCAGGCCAAACCGTCGGGGCGAGATCTACACCGATGACGAAGAAGAGTATGACCGTCGCGGACGCACTCGCGAAGACGAATACGACGAAGACGATGGTTTCCTGGTGGGCAGTGACGAAGAACCAGAAATCGTCGATGATGACGACGAAGAAGATGTCTTGGAGGATGAAGACGAGGACGCTGAGGGCGAAGAGGAAGACCTTCCACCTGCCAGACCGCGACAGAAACGAGCCTCCCCCGAGGCTCCTGAGAGAGGCACCCCTCCAACCCGGAAGAAGAACCGCTACATTGTGGACGACGATGATGAAGAGTAACGGCTCTTCAATTCTAAGCCATATTGACATTCTTACTTGCTTCTTCTAATGACATTGTAACTGTATCATCCATTCTGGGAGTCATTCTTCGGGCGCATGCATGGTCGTCACCACCCATTCAATGTTATATTTTTGATATCATACCAGAATCTTACAAAATTAAGAAATAACTAACGGACTCGGCGATATGCAAATTTGTAGATACCGTACCGCTAGATCTATCTACATTGCTAGTAATATCATAGATTCACAAGACTAGTCCTTCCCGAAATAGAGATCGGAGTATACAGTATGATTGTCATAAAATCGTAAGATTAGGCACCGTTAAATCGAACCCCGGTCTCAATTTGAATGTGGCTCCCTCCACCCATACAGCCACCTTATATCGATGGAATTCTTTATCAAAGATGCTGGGCCTACTTGGCACCCGCACCAACCGGATAATCACTTGGCTCAAAACCAAACTTCGGAATGACATTGCGCGCGCTCTGAATGATGCGCATACACAGCGCATCCCGCTCAAGGCACGATTCCTCCTCCTTGGACCCGTCCGTCTTTGGTATAGGAAGGTGACGTTCCTCGACAGGCAGCGGGTGCGAGCGATGCCAACGTCGTTGCCGCTCCTCCATTTCCTCTATGAGACTAAGCAGGCTAGGCCCATCATCTGCACCCGGGGGCATACCGACCGGATCACACGGCCCTCCTAGCACACGGTATCGCACGGTTTGCCGTAGCCAATCATTCCAGCCTTCCGTAGGGTTAGGGGAGGCATCAATTGCTGCGGCGTAAGCCGGTGGCGCCGATTGTCGGCCGAAGTCGACGGCGTTGACTTTGGATATACGTAGCCAAGTATCGGCGATGACGGTTAATAAGGTGCCAGTGAAGGTGACATTTTGCATGCCTGTTGTGAAGCGGAGGGGACAGATTTGGCAGCGGATGACGGCTTGGGCGGTTCTGGATGCGATGTAGAGAGAGCATAGGTTGTGATGGGAGAGCGGGAATGGGGCGAGAGAAGACAGATGGCTGAGACAGAGGTAGAGGCATGATAGACAAGGGCATTGGCGGTCGGACTCCTCTGAGTCCGGGGACGAGGCGGCAGAGGACTGCTGGAGTAAGGATAGGTCTGGTGGGAGGGTGTAGAGATTGGCTGCTGATGAAGAGACATTGGAGAAATCAGGCCATGGACTGACTGTCGTTGGAGCTGCATCTATTGGTTTGTTGAGGAGGAATTGCCCGGCGTCAACGT